CCCCATGTTCTCTATAGCCCCACCTCCAGCACTCATAATTAGCCTTGCCACCCCAAAATCAGAGACGAGAGCTGTCATGTCATCATTGAGAAGACAATTGCTTGGTTTTAGATCACAGTGTATGACTCTGACAGGAGAATGATGATGCAAATAGGCCATCCCTTCAGCTATATCACTGCAAATATTCACCCGCTGGACAATGCTCAAGTCTGATGATCCTGAAGAAGGATAGAGGCGGCTCTCCAAGCTGCCATTGGCCATATAAGGTAGAACAAGAGCCTTAAAATCGGGTAGGCTACATGCTGTGATAATCCTTATAAGATTTCTGTGTCTAATTCTCTTCAAAACTTGGCATTCTCTGTTGAAGCTCTTGGTAGAATTTCCAGATTGCAAATGCAGCACCTTGACTGCTATTGGTGTCCCGTCTGCGAGAACACCCCTGTAAACATGTCCATAACTACCTGATCCAACAAGTTTCTGATTGTCAAATCCTTCAGTGGCATCTGACAGTTCCTTATACGTGATTCTTGGGAAGTTACTAATCAACTCGGGTCTGGCTGCATTTTTGCTTGCCTGGGTCCTGTGAGAGCTGATGATTACTTTCAGACGCTTGCATCCAATTACACAGCAAATTATTGACAAGAAGGTTGATACGAAGATAACCAAAATTAATATAATCAATAACAAACGAGTGTGAATCCCTCTTCTCCTTTGAGAGCACAAGGATATGCCTGCAATTGTCCCACAGAGTTTTGGATTTCCTAAGAATGACAAGTTTGAAACTGAATTAAAGATACCACCAGATGGAATCTTTCCTTCCAGATTGTTAAATGATAAATTGAGAAAAGTGAGTGTTTCAATTTTACCAAGTTTTGCTGGTATCAATCCAGATAATTGATTCCGTGAAACATCAAAAGATGCAAGGTTCTTCAGATCACCCAGGGACTGTGGGAGCTCGCCTTGAAGAAAGTTGTTTGAAAAATTAATCATTGAAACAGCAATGCATCCTGCTATCTGAGGGAAGATACTTCCAGTCAGGTAGTTAGACGAAAGATCTATCTCCTGAACCTTCTCTAATTTGCTGAGCTCAATTGGCAGGTCACCTTCAAGGTTGTTATGAGAGACATTTATGAAAATTCTGATCTCATGTAAGCCTGCCAGTTTCAGTGGGATGCTTCCTGTTAATCTATTATGGGACAAGTCAAGCTTGTACAGATTAGTGCACCGTCCCAATGTGGGAGGTATTGTTCCTGAGAGAAGGTTATTGTTGAGAAACAAAGAATTTAGTCTAACCAAATTTCCCAAACTGTCTGGAATCCTACCTGAAAATTGGTTGTGTGACATATCCAGTAGACCCAGATTAAGACACTCGCCTATTGCTTCAGGAATTGGAATTTTGAAAAGGTTGTGTGATAAGAAAAGTTGTTCCAACTTTGGCAATCTGAATATATCAGGGGATATCGTTCCATTTAGGAGATTGGATGTTAAATTCAGAATGAAAAGCCTTGAAAGGTTTGCTAAGCTGCGAGGAATTGATCCAAAAATTTGGTTTTCCTGCAATAGCAGGGTTCTTAGGTTGGTGAGTTGGCCGGCGACAGTATTGGTGAACCTTCCCCCGAGGCCCATTCCTGCCAATTCAAGCTCCTCCAGATTACTGTTGTTGCTGAGAGCTGTGAAAAATGGATCAAGATTGGTGTTGCTATCATGGCTTACCATATTGTTGTATGATAAATGAAGATAAAGGAGATACGGCCAGCTGCTTACAAACATAGCAGGCAATTCACCAGATAGATAATTGTACTCTACATCTAAATTTTGAAGCGATAGATTGGTCATCGAGAGAGGAAGTTGCCCAGTAAATTGATTATTGTATAAACTGATACTCCACAGAATTTGGCACTTTCCAATCTCTTCCGGGATTTGACCAGTTAATGAGTTGCTGGAGAAGTCCACAACATTTAGCAGAGTGCAGTTGGAAAAGATAGATGGAGGAAGCGAACCTGATATGTTATTTTCCTTAATGACTAGAATGTTAAGCTTTGAAAGCTTGGAAAAGGAGTCTGGTATTGAGCCATGCAAGTTGTTGCCCTCAAGAATGATGCAGTGAACTCGTCTGAGGTTGGAAAATTCAGGTGGAATGGTGCCAAATAAGTGACTGCGAACAATCTCAAGGTTGTGCAGTCCAGTGAGATTGGAAAGAATGGGTGAAAGCAGTCCCACAAGACCTTTATCATATAGGATTAGTCGTATAACACGGTTATGGGATCTGTCACATTCAACACCTGTGAAGTTGCACACAGGAACAGCTTCATCCCAGTTAGCAAGTGAGGAACGCGGGTCTGATATGATTGTTTTTCTGAATTCCAGAAGTGCAGCTCTATCGGTGAGTAAAGAATGAGAAGGGTGGGAGTGGTGGCGCCGTGGAAAGGAGTGACCGAATGTTACAAGTAAAAGGAAGAACAAGGTTTGTAAGAAAACCATGTCGTATGATTGGTCGTGAAGACTGGCTTGTTAGTAATGATAACATAACACTTTTTGTACCTTCCCCAGCAGTGTCTTACTGCCACCCATTTGGGGCGATGAGGAGTTTGACATTAAGCAGTGTGGTGGTGAGTCGAGGTGGGAATGCTTGCATCATGGAAAACTTTGAGTAGATGGCTTGATGGTTTGCAGAAGAGAAATCCATTCATTAGGAGATGAGTAGATTCTCAACTCAGTTGGGAGGAGACAGAAGCATCAATTGGTGGTACATAGGTAAGTTGGTAATTGATGAACATGGACATGATTTCAACTCAAACATTTTGCTTTGCTTCTGCTTTCAACAAGTGGCGCACTCACACACTCACCTCCAGTTGAGATTTTAAATTGCAACAATGCCTTCGCAACCCCAAAAAAGATCAAAAGAAATAGCACATCTATTTCGTTGTGCAAAGCAATGCGATTGTCACAAACGTCACGTAGCAACGTAGGCAAAACCAAATTGAAACTCTTAACATGTCTAAACTATTATTGCTTGGTTACACTGTTTCAGTCACAACCTCTGCAGTAAGGTGGTTGGATAATGCAACATATAGTGCCTGAACACAACTTGTAGTATTTTTTTAAAGAATAGGTAACTAGTATTGAAAAAATGACACATTTATTTCTTGGTAGACAGCTTTATATGAAAAAGGATACATGTAATTTGATTTTACCTTAAGAGATAGATGGAGACTCAAGATGTTTCATTTGATGAGGAGGAAAAAATAAGATAGTTAAAGGAAAAAGTAAGAGAAGGAAATAAAAAAAAAAAAAGTAGTTTGATCAATAGAAATTAAGATAAAATATAAACTTATAGTTTTATTTTAAATTATTTTTTATTATATAGTTATTATTATTATATTTCTTGATAAAAATATTAGCCTCCATGCGAAAAGAAGAGAAAGAGCGGAATGCCACGAAAGTTCCAAATTTGATGCAAATATTTTAGTTTTTTAAAGAAAAAATCCATTTTCTTATTTTTTTTTATAAAAAGATATGAAAATATAAAATATATATTACATAATTAATTATTTAGAATAAGATAGATTGTATAATAATTTTAAAAAATATATTTTAAAAATACAAATTATAATAATAATAAATAATTAAAAATAATATTAAAATGATAAACAAAATTATTAAAAAACAAATAATTTTAATTTTTTTATTACTTTTTTTTTCCTTTAATTTAAATAATTCTAATTTTTATTATTTTTCTCTTTATTTCTTTTTTTAATGTCATATTTACCCTCTAATCTAAACAAACTTCAAATGAAACTTATATACTTTTTTTAACTTAAAAAAATTTATAAAATCCAATATAATGGATTATGTTGGATGAAAATATGCACATAAGAGGGAGATGTGTGAGTAGAAGGTACATAAACAAATGGGTTCCTTCCCACACATAATTTAATAATAGATATATTCATGTTCATTGATATAGTTAAATACCTGATATAAATAAATTATTTAATAAACAAATGGGACCAATTGTAATTAGTGTATTGTGATGCTAAAATTCATAAAGGAGAAAAAGAACTGTAGAGAGTTGTAATAACCAAAACATTATGTATTTTAAAAAGTGAGATGATATATATATATATATATATATATATATATATATATATATATATATACTTATATTAATAATAAAGTAAAAATGATAGAAAGTGATTATAAAAAAAATAAAAAGATGTGAAAGTGTGTTATAAAAAATATAATTCTGTTGCAAATATGATATCGTTAAGAATCTTCCTTAAGTTGAGGTAGATATTTGTCATGCTCAACTTAGAACAAATATTCTGAAATACAGTCAAAGAAAGAAATTTCGTGAGGATGTAAGCAATTTGTGAGGAAGAAGAGATTGGTAACCGCTTAATCAAACCATTAGTGATTTTTTCTCGGCCAATATAACAATTTATATCAATGTGTTTTGTACATTAATGAAAGACTTGATTGTAAATAATTTAAAATTTAGATTAGTTGTTACAATAAATCAAAGCTGGAATGTGAAAGGAATACCAATATCATTTAATAGATATGTCACCCAGTGAATTTCACAGTTAATGAAAGCTAAAGCGTGATACTCAGCTTCAGAAGAGCTGCGTGAGACCATCGGTTACTTCTTAGAGCGCCAAGAGATGAGAGAATTGCCAAGGTAAATGGTGAAACTGATAATAGAACATTGTGATTCAAGACACCCAGCCAAATCAGAGTTGTTGAAATCCTTGAGCTGGGTGGTACTGAAAGTCGTGAGAAAAATGTCAGAATCTGGATTTTGCTTTAGATAAAGTAAAACACGAAAAATAGCTTGATGGTGAGAGGTTGTAGGTTGAGAGACAAATTGACTAAGGTGTTGTACAAAAAAAGTAATGTTTGGACGTTTAGTGGTAAAGTAAATGAGTCGTCCAATTAGTCATCGATATACAAAAGGATTAGGAAATAACATTGTAACATATAGATGATTAGAGTAATCAATGAGTGTAGATGTTGGTTGGAGGCAAGCAAACCATGGTCGAAAAGGAGATCAGGGTATATTTACATTGACATTAGTGTAAGCCAGAAGGGATGCAGGAAACTTTGAGGCCCCAAAACAATCGCAAATCACCAAGGTTCTTAATCTTAAAGACTGAGGCAAGTAAAGAGGTGATGTGAAAGATACCTTTAGATAGAAAATATTGATGCATAAGAAATTCAACACCATTATCTGTGCAAATGTGTTTAACATGAGTCACATTGATTTTCTATACGAGTGATAAAATTGTTAATATGTGTTCGTGTTTCACTCTTGGAAAACATTAAATAGACTTCATGTAAAATATGTTTGATCATCCACAATTGTTAAAAAATATTTTGTGTCCATGTATAAATAATTTTGAACATGGTCCCCATATATCAATATGCAACAATTCAAAAGGTTTTAGTTGCATGATAATTGTTTAACGGAAAAGATAGATAATTCCTTTTGGTTAATGGAAAAAATAATTTATTTTATTTTGAGTGGTGACATATATTACAAACAAAAGTTCTAACACTATATAAACAAAGATAATATTGTTTTATAGACTCTAGACAAGCATGCGAAAGATGACCCAAACGAAAATACCAAAGATCAATAGATATACATTGAGGATGGACAATGATGGATAAAACAGATGAGTAGGTTTGAGAACAAGTTTGTAGAGTCCACCATTTATATTAGTTATATCAATATGCATCCTGTTAGTCGCATCCTGTATGATATGAGAATTAAATGAAAAAGTCAAAATACAATTAAGAGAATTCACAAGTTTAGAAATAGAAATGAGATTAAAAGTAAAATTGGGAATATAGAGAACATATCAACTAAATAACAAGAATAAAAAAAAATGAAAAACTCCAAAACAAGTAGATGTAACATGTTGACCCGTAGACAACTTAACAACTACATGATCAATTTTAACTTAAGAGTGAAAATTATCAAATGAAAAGGAGACATGATTAGTAACTCCTAGATCTAAGATTCAAAGGATTATAAACTTAAATTTACTTGATTGATCAAAGGAAGAAATAATATCAATTTGATTGATGTGAGATGTATTAGGAGCTGAAGATCCAAATTGAAATTACTGAATTAAAGTTACAAGTGCTTGATACTTTTAAGGAGAGAAGTGAAATTCTTGGTTCTCATTATTTTATTGGTCATTTGTAGTGACTACTTTCACCTGTCATCATGTTATTATTGAGAGCGATTTTATCACTATTATATAATTTGTATCCCGAAAGAAAATCATGTTTCCTCACCCTGTACATCCACAATGATAGCAAAATTTAGTATTACGATTAACAAATCATTTACTAGTTTTATTGTCACTATTTGGAGGAAACTTTTGTCTCCTATAACAAACACTTATAATATGACTCGTACATCTACAATGAGTATAGTGAATAGAGTTAACAACAATATTGCCTATTATTTATTTGGTGTCAAATTCTATATTGATGAAGAAATTGTTTTGTACATGTATCTGCTAAAACACATAAGAGAAGATTTTAGAAAGATATAGTAAAAAATCTATGAGAAAAACGTATGAACAAATATTACTGTAATGTTTATTTAATAGTCGTAAAAATTGCATGTGATTATGTATAAATCTATTACAGAAAATATGATTATGTTGTAAATATGATAGGATTAAGATTATTTAAATATATAAAATAAAATTAGTTTAGGGTTTGTTGATTTTCTTAATATGTGATTGAAGTGTTGTTCCTAACTTTTGGTTTGACTTAGGATTGCAGTATTTGAAAATTAAATTTAGTTTATAAGGAGAACTACTTTATCCGTGTTCTACACATAGCATCAAAAATCAACTCATGGTCATTAAGTCAATGAATTTTTATCAATCCAAATAATCATTAATTGGATCACAGAATTAGTTTAGTCTAACAATTGATTCAACTCAGTACCATTTCCATTTTTAGTCTAATTTTTTAGCCTTTAAACAATCTTTTAAAATAAAATTTTAGAATAAATAAAATTATGTGTATAATAATATTTTAGATATTTATTTAAGTATTAGTTAATAATACATAAATACTCACAGATAATTAAGGAAAAATTAGCAAATTTTTACGTAAACTGTTCTGTTTTGCTAATAATCGAGTCATATATATAATATTTTTCTTTAGAATCTAAGAGATATAAATAACATATGTTTAAGTATTTTTTTTTATCATACATTTATATTTCTATTTTTTTATTTTATTAGACTCTTTACGGTAAACATAATTGTATTTTTAAGTATTAGAGTATCATTTTTGTTTTGTTTTGATAATATTATTGTTATATTGAGAGTTATAAAAAATGTGACGAGTTAATACCTCACTCTGAGTAGTAGATTCTAAGTAAATTAATAATCTTGCATGGTTTCTGAGGTGTGTTTGCTGATAAACTATGGCAAACAACCACTTTGTTGTTGAATTTAAGAAGGATTTTGTTTAAGAAACATTTTTATAACCATTCCCATTCTTAGTTGCCTAAAAGGTTTTGGTTGCCCAATAATAGATGAGGTACCATGTTTGCTTTTCGTGTAGATTTAGGTATGAGTTATTTAGTCATTTGTTACATTGCTACCTGCTGCTTTTTTTTCTTTCTTTTCCATTAGTTATCTTTATCTCCAAATCCAAACGAAAAAGATGACCAAGGTTACCATTTTAATAACAACCATTACAAGCTTTTCATATGCATACAATATGAGTCCGACGTCTTCAAATATTTTCGAAATGTAGGTCCGATGTGGTATCCTGTGCAGAAATAGTTAGGTTTTTGAGATGATTAGCAAAGTTGGTTCAAAGCTGTGTCTCATGCAAAAAAAAGTAAGTAAATGAGAATGCATGTTTGGTAATGTGATATGGACTCATGAACTACTTCCATATAATAATATATATGTTTGTGGATTGTGATGTTCTGCGTTTGTGTGTGATATATATAGAAGGAAAGTGAGAGAAAAGTGATGCATCAATCTAGCGAGGATCTAGTGAGTTAGGGTAAGAGATGAAGACTCTCCACCTCCTCCTACTTTCTCTCTTGGCTTTGCAGGCATTGTTGTTGGCTTCTTCTCCTACACAAGCTAGACCTCTGGGTATCAATTCTACTTCTGCCACTTAATTATTCATTCATTATGGCCCAGAAACACTGTTAGTATGTAAGTTATTATTAATGGTGTTTTCAGGCTATTCAGCTGGTTCGAGTGTGATCAAAGTGATGATTTTGAGGCCACGTCCAGGACGACACTCACCACCACCACCGACTCCTGGCTATTCTCCTGAACCCGGTCCAGGAAGAAATAACAAATCTCCTCCAACACCTTTCAACTCTCTCCTGCACATGGAATCTCTCAACCCTTCTGCTGCATCTGCATGATTACTGTCATATAAATGTTTATATAGGTGTGTGTGTGAACTAATGTTTTACTTAGTTTTTATTGGCATGCCTAAAAATAAAGAGTTAAAGTCCTTGGGTTTAATTAATTTGGTGAGGATTATAGACCTACTAGAGAGATTATGAAGCTCCTTGTATGCTCTACAAGAAATAGCTTCTTGTAAATTATGTTGTTTGCTTGTTTATGTGTATGTATATGTGTATGCAAATATTGCTTCGAGTGCTAATTCACTATGTTCATATTTCCCTCATCATCATCCATATTTAGGATCTTGGTTCCTAATTAATACTCTAAGCTACGAAATGATTTACTCTTAATATCAAATTTAGAAAACTAATTATATGTGAAATAATTTTTTATATATATTACTTCATCTAAATAATATATTATCAATAAATAATAAATAAATATAAAAAATATAATAAAATAAAGAAATTTTGTAAATATACAAATAAATATATTTAATAATAATTAAGTTTAAAAATATTAAAATCATAAATACTAATATAAATTATAAATTTTAAAAATAAGTAAGTTTTTGGTCAAATTAATAAATATTAATATAAATTATAAACTTTTAAGGAATTATGACCTTTTTTTATCTCAAGATCCGGTTTCATCTTATGCTTAATATATATAATATTAGTTAATATAATAGATAAATAAAAATAATTATAATATCATTTGAATTTTCTAAAAAATATTAATAATATATTAAACAAATATTTATTGATTATTTTTAAATTGAATTTTTATTCTATTTAGAAACGATAATTATATTTTGGTATATATGTCTATTATAATATCCATCTATAGAATTCTTGTCTCTCAGAATTTATATAATTAATAAAGGTAAATATAGAATAAAATATAAAATAATATTTATAAAAAAATCATCAATTCCTTTTATATATATATATATATATATATATATATATATATATATATATATATATATATATATATATATATCAAAGGAAAGAACATCAAAGAATAAATTATACTACCATTATAAACATTATTTTTATCTTTAATGTCATAAAAACTTCAAATTTTAGTTTTAGGTCTCGACATTGATTTAAATTATTTTAATATACTTTTTAAAATACACAAACTGTTATTCCTCCACCAGAACAAAAAAGACATTTTAAGAACCAGAATGTAGGTATTTAAAAAAATATTAGGGCATACTGATTTAAAAATTACCAAAAGTAAAAAAAATTGTTTGGAAACAAAATATTTATTCACTGTAAAAATAATTAAATATTTTTAATATAATAATTAAGAAATATTATTATTTTATATTATTAAATTATATAAAATAAAAATAAATCTTTAACTCTTAATTTCTATAATAAATATAATATTTTATCATGGTCTCAAACTATAAATCAATTAAAATATTGATTTAAAGATATACTTTTAACTTATTTATGCCTACAATCAAAATTTAAGAAAATTATGTCAGTAAATGTTGAAAATAAGGTTTGCTACACTAAGGGAAAAAATGACAAATAGTATATAAATAACGTTAAAGGGAGAAAGAATTTAAGTAACAAAAAAATATTATAAAAAATAAATTTAGTAACATGCATTCTCGGTATATATAATATATATATATATATATATATATATATATATTTATTTATAAAAAAAATAAGAAATTCACTAAACATTCCCTTAAATTCATATCAAACTTGTACGTAAATTTATTCAGGTATATATTGATTTTTTTAGCTAAGAAAAAACAAACAAAAAAATAATAAAAAATTAGTTTATTTACTGTTTTTAAAAATAACTTTTAATATTTTAAATTTTTAAAATTTTTCTGATTGTAAAAGCTAAGATTAATAAAAAATATTGTATATTGTATTATCTATGTCATATTTAATAATAATAATAATAATAATAATAATAATAATAATAATAATAATAATAATAAGTTATCAAAAATAATTTTGCATTTTCATTCTATTTTTTATTATCTATTCTTAAAAATAATCTTTTAAAAATTATTTATAATTCTGTTTTTAAAAAATTAAAAACTAAAATTAAATCAGATAAACTTTTAATTCGTTTAAATCATTGTTTCTAATTTAATCTTTTAACCTTTTTACTATCAAGTTTTAAAATTTTGATTTAAATAATAATATATTTTTTATTTTGATTTTATAAAGAAACAAAACAAATAATAGAAATTTTTTATCTATTTAAATTTAATTATTTATTGAATTTAGATTAGAAAAAACGTCATATGATTTACGGTTACTAAAAAAGAAATATAATCAGATTAATTCAAAAAATATTAAAATTCAACATAATTGTGATGAATGGTGGAGATGTTATATAACTAAAACAGATAAATAATTAAGATAAATAATATATTTTTTTACATTTATTTCAATTTTTATTCCCAACCAAACAATTCTATTCAATTTATTATTTAAAATCTTTGAAACCAATGCAAATCAAATTGAAAATATGTTATTAAATTTTATTTTAAGTAGATAGGGTATATAACAATAATCTGTTTCTATTTTTTACATTAATACACATGCTCTACACAAAATATATATTTACTTTTTATACTATTTACCTAGTATAATCTTAATCTTTCATTAAGTAGAATTAAAAAAAACATAATAAATTAAATATTGTTAACATTATTTAAAATATATTTTGTAACAAATTTATTAATTTTAAATTTGTGAGTTTTTTCTATTATAATTTTATTTAAATGATAAAATTATGTCAATGTTTTAATGAAATAAAATATTAGATATAAAAAAATAATAAAATTTAATCTAAATAAATAGAAAAAATAATTTATTTAACACTCAATCACCCATAATTTCTATACTTAACGCAAATGTATTAAAACATTAATTAAAATAACACCCACAAATACGTTATATTAATTAATCATATTTCTTTTCATGGTTACATTACATTAAATAATATATTATATTATATTATAATGTATAATTATTAATAAAAATTATATATTTTTATATTCATTATTTTTTATAGATATTTTATTTATCTTTTTATTCTTAATATTGTGATAATTCATATTTATTATGATATATGATAAATATTATTTTTCATTATATTAAATATAGTGAATTGTAAAATAAAATAAAATAAAAAAAAAAGAAGAAGAAGGAGAAACACGTGTAGAACAGTGGTAGACCCCACACCGAACCCTTTAAAATGTCTACCTCACTAGAGCGCCAAAATCCCCTATTTCTCTCCTCTCAGGCTTCATCCAACCTCACCACCTTCACCGCAATCCCAGCACCCCACACTCTACCTCACTGGTATGTTTCTACCTTCTTCTGCTTTTCGTAACCCTAACCCTAACATTTTTTCCTTTTCTCTGTTCCAAAACTTTTGTTTTTTTTTTCATAACTCAGTTCATCATGATTTCAACTTCCTTCTCTTTTTTTCTTTTTTAAATATTTTTCTTCAATATTTAGGATTGTACGATTTTCGGATTTCTGTGCCCGTCTTTGGCTAATAGTTGTTTTCTCACTTATATTAACCTTTTCCATCACTCATCATCAATCGATTCAGTGTTTTTTTAGTAGGGAGGTTATTGTCCATTTAACTTGACGGAGGGATACTGCAGGGACCCTTTACTCATTCTGCCTATAACTTAAACATGCTTTTTAGAAACATTACCTTTCTATTCTATGATTATCTGTAACTTGGATTTACTTCTCCTCTTTCTTACTTTTAACATGACAGAGTTATACTTATTGGACAATTGAAAGAACAAAAAAATGCCCTTTTCTTCTGCTTCCATTGCAAAAGGGAGTGAAGAGCTCGGATTCAGTTTAATGAACACTTGCTCTGCTAACCATGATAGGACTCCTAGTGATAGTCAGCATAATGATACAACCACCCATAGGATCGAAGGTTCACCATTTCCTTTTCCCCATTGGAATTTGAATGAAACATCTCAGTATTTTAGCAATGAACCAATTGGAGGTAATTCAATGGGTGATTCCTCTCAGTTTAGAAGTTATCAGAATTTTAAGATGGACCATAATTACTCACACAGTGCGGAAGAACATGATTTTTCTCGGGTTATAAGTGATCAGAAATTTCAGATGGACTATAATTCCTCTCGCAGAGCACAAGAACATAATTTTCTTCCATGCAGACCAGATTCTTGTTATCCTGGTCCCGAAGAATACATAGCGTGGTCATATCAATATGATAAGCTCAATAATCAAACAGTCTCTGCTAATGTGAGGAATGCTGCCTTCAATCTAAATAATTGTGAGACGTCTAATAGTGGTGGGATGAATGTGACCCCAAGTTATGGTTTGGCTAGCAGGCCACAAATGGTCAACCCTAATGGAACAGCAATGAGTGGTAATATTGGCCATTCTTCACTAGATATGAGTCTGGGAATGACTATGTGTAATCCAAATCAAGGTGGTGCAGAACCATTGCATTCTACTGAAAAACCTGATGAAAGATTTATGACCATTGATTCTGGAAGTACTAATAACAATGAGTTCACATTAGGTGCTGTGTTACCAAAATTCAAAGTGACTGGTGATCATGAGAGGGCAATCAGTAAGCACTACAATTATCTGGGTAGCAGAAGTTCCTTAAATTCTGGGTTAGACATGAATGTTGCTTTTTCTGGTTTTCAGAATGACAGAAAAATCATATCTAATTTAGCTCCTGCAGGCAATCATGTATTTGATTGTAGACCTGATTTATGTCTGGGGCCGTCATCTTCTTTTCAAAGGGCAGCTGCTGGTGACCGAAATCATTATTTAGGGCAGGACAACATGGATTTAGGTCTTGGAAGTGTGAAAGACAGTAGTATGGAATTTACAGATATTGGTTGCAAAAATGACCTTGAAAGATGCATGGATTTAAATTCATTGCCAATTGTTGTCAGTCAAACTACGCCTTTTGAAAGTGGACAGAACTGGGTGAATGGACAGGTAGTTCCCTCCTCAAGTGGAATGATAATTGACAAGTTGCCGACTGAGCTGTTACATAGAAATAATGATAAGTTTTCCCCACAAGTTTTTTCTGCTCCTCCGTTGGCCGTGGCCTCTAGAAGCACCATAGGGCAGGATCTTTCAAGTATGTAATCTACTGCTTAATTCCTTATTTTCTGCTCATAAACTTTATTGTATGTCACATCTACTTAAATTTCACCTCATTTCTAATAAGCAGAAATATATTTGATCATCTTTAGCAGTTTTTGTTTATATGAAATTTAGTCTTTTGCTCCTTTGCTTTTATTAGTTAATATCAAATCCTTTCAAATGTAGCCGGTGATTTTTATCTTGGTCTTAAAAGTGTTATTTTGAAGCTACTTTCTCTTGTTTTTATAGAAGCTCTGGGTTCGTAATCTTTCATGTTCTAGTAGACCACATTCTTCCATTTATTATCTTTGTATGCTATTCAGTATAGATAATTAGATAAATACTTCACTCAGAAACTCATTTTTTGGATTTAAATTTGTTTTCTGTATCTGCTGATATCTGAATTATCTTTTTATACTTTCCTTTACATAAATAAAAGACAAACAGGATTATTAACTTGTGAAAGTACCACATCCCCAACTTCTCAGGTGGTACCTCTTACTATTTCTTGCCTACTCATTGCTTTGTTAGGCTTGAAATTATTCAAATGTATTGTTATGAAGTGCCTCAAATCGAACAATCCTTTAAACAGACTCTGCAACCAACATTTTCCAGTAATTTAATCTAGTATAGTTAATGTGTGTTGAAAGATCTTCACTTAATTGTATCGTCTTACTTCCAAGGAATAGCTTATGGATTTTTACAAACCTTTTTACTTGGTTTACTTGTAGTGCTTCCTTCCTTCAAGTATAGTATATAGATAAATTGTTTTAGTGTTCATGTAATGTGGCCTAAACAAGTAACAACAAGAGCCTGGGCATTTGCTATTTTCTTTCGTATGATGCAAAGTGTTAGCATTTCATTTGATGCATACAGACAGACATTGTATTTCTGTAGATTTTAGAAAATGGCAGGTGAGGTGAATGGTCTATTGTTATTTATTTGTTAAGATTCATTCTGTAGGTAATCATGGTCAATCTCAGGAAGGTGGTTCTATTCAGCAATCAAACTCTTGTCTTCAACCACAATCTACTTCTGGTGATTACCATCTTAAACAAAATATCATTATATCCACTCACCATTGAATATTTCTTTATTTTTATACAATGGAAGCAATAAACTATTTTTTTCAGATCTAGGAATACAGACTGGAAGTGGAAATATGACTACTCAAGTTTCACGGCCTTCGGCCATGCCATCTCTAAAGAGAGCTGCTTCCCAACCACTGTCATCCACTGTCCAGAATCAACACAGGAAGACAATATCAACTCAGTTCATACATCCATCAATTCCAATAAGGACCAGATTCGCTCCAACAGTCCCAAATACATCCCGAGCAATTTCTCCCTTGGTCCGCCCAGCCCAATCTATCACGTCCCCAGCTACTCACTCTGTTGTTCCTCCATTGTTCCCAACAACTTGGACTAAATCTGCTCTACCACCCCTAAACACAACTCTGGCAATTCCTCCCAAAATGCACGCAGCTCCATTTCCCCCACCTAATAATGACAAGAGAATCTCACCTTTAAACCACCCCTCAACCCATGCTTCACCTAGTACAAACCTATCTAACCAGCATCAACTGTTAGCTCAGGCTTTGACTCACAAACGTTTGAAGACTTCAACTATACCATCCAATCACATTAAATTTAAAGGTATTTCTTGGAGCTTCTTTATTTCTTCTTGCGTATTTGACAAATTCCTTTTCTGTCTACCTTGATTGTTTCCTGAGGTTAATTTATTTGTTTTTCTTCACAATATATGAAGGTTGATTTGCATATATACCTTACCAGTGCATTTAAACATACATTGAAAATATATTCGTTATTCTGATGTTGAGAGCATGAGGTTGTTCTATTTTATTTTCCAGTGAGATTGCTCAATTAAAAAAATGCTGTCAACGAATTGTTCTCATCGTAATTCCTTTCCCTGCAAACAATCCCAAGAGAATCATTTTACTGGTAGGGTTGGGTTGTTTTAATTGAGTATATTCATAGGGGTATAGCCTAGATATCTTTCATACGCGTATATTACAGTAAAATCAACAATTTCATCAAGTGAGAATCCCGGGTCAAAACAAGATAGATCACTGAAATTCATACAAAACTTGAACCTTAATTCGTGAGGCCTGATACTAATTCCTTGCCTCTGATATTCTTTCCTTGGAGTTATGGCCAGTCCATTATACTTTATTTAGCATAAAATGTCAATAATAGATAGGCTGTCGTGGGCAAAATCTGTCTTTCCTTTAAAATCTGGTCTATCGAATATATGAAAGGATTTCAAGTGCTTCTACTGGCTTCGGAAAAAGAATAACGAAATTCACGGACTTTGTAGAATTAGAAGTTGTTGTCTTTGTAGATATGGACTATGTTGAGCATTACTTACGTAACATGTGCTAATGTGTTATCTTCATTCTTGTTCAGATCAAACACCAGAACCAATTGGATATAAGTGCTTTTTGTGCAAGAGGGATCTCTCCTACGAACCAGAAGGGCCTATTTCGCTACCACCTGCTTCTCCCGCAGTTGCTGTCCTATCATGTGGCCACACCTTTCACGAGTATTGCTTGGAGCGAATAACCCCTGCTGAACAATCCAACGATCCTCCATGCATTCCTTGTGCTCTTGGCGAGTAGTGAATTTAGTCATACATTTTGATCTCAAAAGGTTTAGAAGCCTATAAGCTATAGTAAGGTTATACTTATTTTTATATGAATATCGTTGTAAGGTCTGCCATGTCATCATTATTTAGAATAATGCCAATTTTACGTAGTAACCTATTTATCACCTGAAATTTACAAATTTTATTTTTTAATCACAGTTGCGAGGATTTTAGGATCTGTTTTCTTTTAAAATAATTTATCAAGATTCTAAAAGAATTGATGTTATATTTTCCGATTGAATTTAGAAAAATTTGTTTTATTTGGATGAGATAATAAAAATATTTTTGACGTGTAAATTTAAATATATTTTTTAAAAATTTATAGCATGATATTATATAACACTACACAACGATGTGTTTAATGAGTTGGTCGAGGATGTATCCGAAGGTATAGCAAAGTTCAAAATTATATGGAATTGATTAATACAAGAGATCAATTTAAATAAAATAAAATAATCTCGTTTTTGAATACATTAATCCAAGTTTCTTTTTGAAATGAACACTAATGAAAAAGTACAGAGGTGTAATTTGGTGCACATCTAGTTTATAATAATTACTTTTGTGGTTCATTTCAAATTTTGTAACATATTTGAAATGAACTAAATTCTAATCTGCTCTAATAGTACAACATTAAGTAATCCACATTTTTATATTTACTTTTATTTATCATTAAGATAATAAATTTTATGTAATAAATTGATTTTTTTATCCATGAGCAATTGTTTACGTGAGGAAAGGCCTGAATGTGTTTTATTTATATTGGCCCATAGTGTAATTAGTATAACTATTTATTTTAAAATTAAGTTCTAATGTCTTATAATTCAACACTCCCACTTTATTTTAAAAGAACACGATCTCAAACCGACGTAACTCCCCAGCTGAAAGAAACATCAAAACAGACCAAGTTTTATATGAAAACTAAATCAGACAAAGTAATGTGATTGTCCATGGACACCAACTGTTCTTAGTATCGCTTTCTCAACTGCTTACTCTCTTCGTTTCCAGTTTTCTATAAATACAACAAACTCATCTCCTACAAAAACGTACCCGTGCTCTGAGAAAAAGTTGCAAATTGTGATTCTTATGAAGCTTATTAATAAGACCATCCAAAAGGAAAATAAAAAACTCCCTCAATCCGAGAAATTCCTTTTGAGCAGTCTCTAAGCAACTTAACTGCACTACGTAGCGTAATTGTATACAACTTGACATGAACATGCCTTTACCAATCCCATACGAAATACACTTGAATATAGAAACGCAAGAGTATATGTATTTATTGATCTGAGTATCTGGTATACAAACATAGCATATAAAAAATACATCTAAACACGTCCGTGAAGTCACAAGAGCGTTGATCTGATCCAATCCCTTGGACCCACTGCACCAACAAAACAAGCACTGAGCACTATTTGTTCTCTTTTCTCAATACGTGCACGTGAAACCTCAATAATTTGCAATGCACAAAGCTAGTGGGGTCTCCAAGCCAGCGCTTGCTCTTTTGTTCTCTTCTCATGCCAAAAATCCATCACTCACAATCTGTCTCCCTCTTACACATTTACCACTATCACAGTTTCTCTTCATCTTCCCTTCCCTTCCCTTCCATTGCATTACAATGGCGGAGTCAACGTCCATCTTCCCATGCTTCCTCTTCCTTCTTTCTCTTTACCTCATCATATCAAATGGCGCTCACTCTTATGACAAGATGAACTTTAACTTGCAAAAGTCGCAGAAAAAACAACATGGTACACCGGGATGTCTCCTCCCCGAATCAAGTGAGTTTTATAGTAAAAAGTAAGCTTTATTTCATGACACTGACACTTTGACACCTCTTTATATTCATCGGAACTTCCTTTTTACTGTAAAGGGTTTAAAGTTTTTGCTCTTTCCCTTTGAAAAAAATTATTCATGTGTTTATGTGTCGAATCAAAGTCACCTAGTTTAGATTAATAAGAGCATGTCCATGCTGTTTGTTATATATGTTTCTCTAGATAACATTGCAATGTCTATGAGTAAGTTGTGTTCTTTAAATTACAACCCTTTTGGTTATCAGCTCACAGATAAAACTACTTATATAATATGTATTCTCAGGAAGGGAGAAAGGTGCTATTATACTGGAAATGAAGGACAGGGGTCAGTGGTCAGGGAAAAAAACTAATTGGCTTGAGAAACAATTGGTACTGGATGCTCTCCACGTTCGTTCAATTCAAAATCACATTAGAAAAAAGACCTCTAGTCATATTCAAGATTCCTCGGCAACCCAAGTTCCATTAACTTCGGGCATAAAACTCCAAACTCTTAACTACATTGTGAGTTTGGGATTGGGAAGCCAGAACATGACCATGATAGTTGACACTGGAAGCGACTTAACATGGGTCCAATGCGAGCCTTGCCGATCATGTTACAATCAGAAAGGACCTTTATTCAAACCTTCTAACTCCTCTTCCTTTCAATCAATTCTGTGCAATTCAACAACCTGTCAATCTCTCCAATCGAGCACTGGAAATGCGGGAGCATGTGACAGTAATCCATCAACTTGTGACTACGTGGTTAACTATGGTGATGGATCATACACTAGTGGTGAGCTGGGGGTTGAGAAGCTGAGTGTTGGAGGTATTTCAGTGAGTGATTTTGTGTTTGGTTGTGGAAGGAACAATAAAGGACTATTTGGAGGAGCCTCAGGCCTTATGGGGTTGGGAAGAAGTGACCTCTCAATGATCTCTCAAACGAATGCTACATTTGGAGGAGTTTTTTCCTACTGCTTGCCTTCAACTCAAGCTGGAGCTTCTGGCTCACTGGTTATGGGTAATCAGAGTGAAGTTTCAAGAAATGTTACTCCAATTTCCTACACTAGGATGGTTCCTAATCTACAATTATCCAACTTTTATATACTGAACCTCACTGGAATAGATGTTGGAGGCGTGACTCTGCAAGCTTCAAGTTTTGGCAATGGTGGGGTGATACTTGATTCCGGTACAGTGATCACAAGACTGGCTCCATCTGTTTACAAGGCTGTGAAGGCAAAGTTCTTGGAAGAGTTTTCTGGTTTCCCTTCAGCACCGGGGTTTTCAATTTTGGATACCTGCTTCAATCTCACCGGGTATGAGGAAGTAAACATACCAACCATCAGCATGCATTTTGAGGGCAATGCTGAGCTGAATGTGGATGCAAGTGGCATATTCTATTTAGTTAAAGATGATGATGCTTCGAGGGTTTGTTTGGCGCTTGCTAGTCTTTCAGATGAGTATGAAATGGGGATCATTGGAAACTATCAGCAGAGGAATCAAAGGGTCATATACGATGCCAAACTCTCTCAGGTGGGATTTGCTGCAGAACCTTGCAGCTTCACTTGAATGAATACATATAATATAATATACTATACATTAGCCTTGGAGAAGATAAGAATCTCTCACTCTTTTCAATTGGGCGTGTGATTGAATTGTAAATTCACTCATATTAAGCTTCTAAAATGTAAGATGTTGTATGGAAATAATATAAGCAACTGAGACTACATATTTAGCATCAGTTCATGAAGGTTTTTGTAGATAATCTACTCCCTTCACCAAGTTCTGCCAGTCTAAATCGTCCAGTGAACAAGTGACAAATAAGTGAGAATGTGTTGAGAAACATTATAGTAGATAGTTATAATCGTCATCTTATTTAGAATTGAGATAGGCTGTTCACTATTAATATTAAGAAATCATACATTTACTAAAAACATAATTTTATTGTAGTTGATATCTCATGCAAGAATTAGCACAAATTCTCATAAATTTATTCTCTCTTAAATCTTTTTTAATTATTTATTTTTGGAACTTAAATTTACATTTCTTTGCATAATGTTGTTGAGAAATCACAAATTAGTTGAATTTTACTGGCTCATCAAATAAATCATTTGAAAAAAACAATTATTAAGAGGGATAAAGATAGAATTGGGATAAAAAAAAAAACCTTAACCATAGTTGCCTCTAATAATTTTCTTTTAAATATATATTTCCATTTTTTTATCTTAAAAAAGACAATTTGAATAAAATAACAACATAAAGTACTAGTATAAATAAAATTAACCTCTAAAATATTAATTTATAAATTATAATAAAATAATAAAATTAAAAATAATAAAATTTTATAAATTTATATAAAAATAAGAATTTAAATTTTACATGATTTTTTACTAATCAATTTATTTTAATAACTTAATTTAAAAAATAAAATAATAATTATTAGTGAATAAATAGATATATCAAGATAATAAGAGAGAAATTAAAATTATGAGGTGTGTCTATTTAAAATATTTATTTTATATCCATGACAAATTTCATTGGATGTTGGTACTATCACTACTTAAAACATCGTTTTAATTAAGAGTTATGAAAATTGTTTAAAAGAGAATCTTTTCACTTCTTCATTTCGTTTCCAAGATAATTCACTCCCGTTCCATGTTCCCATTATGTTAATTCTTTAATTAATTAAGATAAGTAAGTAAGTTTATTTATATTTGAGTTGAATTAAGAAGTGTGAAGAAATATTGATTTTGAGATATACATTTTAAAATAGGATATGTCTTATAATATTATTTTTTAATAATTTATGTGAATGGTCTAATCTTAACTCTGAGAGAAGCTGTTTATTGCTATCGATAAGTGAAAAATTTGTACTTGTTGTTATCGTTTCGTAAATGAACAATCCTGTGGGGATGGTGACGGGTCTGGAATCTGAATGGGAAAGATGCTGACTATAGCTTCCAAATTCCAAGATTGACCGCATCCTCCCCATAATAAAAAGATCGATTCTTTATTATCATAAACGATTCCATCAGTGACAACATAGTAGAGAGCATAGTGAGAGATAGATGTGTGCTGTTTCCGCCATTGCTAATCCCATGGATTCCATCACCCTCTTCCAACTTGTTCAGACACACTCTTTTGCCACTTCACTTGCTGTGGCTGCTTTATCTCTTTTGTTCCTCTTCTGGCTGCTCCGTCGCATTCCAGGATTCACTCGTAGACATGCAGGACTTCCCCCGGTACCAGGTATCATATTTACATCGATGCTCCAGCATGCATGTAGTTTTGTTTCGATTTTGTGTTTGGTATGAGGATGAGGAGTATGAATGAACACAAAAATAGCATATTTAAGTTGTGGGTTGGGTGATTGTTGCAGCTGTTCCAGGACTACCCGTGATCGGGAATCTTCTGCAATTGAAGGAGAAGAAACCTTACAAGACCTTCACACGAATGGCTCAAAAACATGGACCCATTTATTCCATCAGAACCGGTGCTTCCACTATCATTGTTCTCAACTCTGCCGATCTTGCCAAGGAGGTCGGTCACTGCTTCTCTTTTTAATCTCAACCCCTTTCAGTTTCAGTTCACGCATGCATCCTTCTTCGATTAAATCTTCACCCTTTTTGTCTTGGACCCTTTTAACCGCAAATCAGAACACCTTTCTAAATCAGCTGATTCTGTTCGTCACCTTCCTATGGCAGTGGATAATCTAGCAAGTTCTCAAACGTCACGTTTTCTTTCAAAATGGTTTTTTTTATTTCATATTGCTATTTTAGATGAATATATACCAATCTGTCAACCGAGAGTTGAAAGAATATAAAGGTGATTACTGATTTTTAGATCGATCCACTGGGCAACTTTGGTTGGAATTTCTTGGACCGTTCATAACTACTACAGTCCATGTATTTGTTCTTATTTCTGGATAACTGGGTTATAAAATGTTACCGCTATTTTCAGGCCATGGTGACCAGGTTTTCGTCAATTTCAACAAGGAAGCTATCAAATGCACTGACGATTCTGACTTCTGAAAAATGTATGGTTGCCACTAGTGACTACAATGAATTTCACAAAACTGTCAAGAAACATATTCTTGCAAACGTTTTGGGAGCCAATGCACAGGTTGGTTGGTTATGAGAATCTCATGGTTACCTTATCAGTATTTGAGTAACTAGAAGTCCTTTTTTGTGTGTGGTTTGTTTGCTTATTGATTGTCTATTTTTCATTATTCAGAAGCGGCACCGTAGCCACAGAGAGACCATGCTGGAAAATATTTTGACCCAGTTTAGTGAACATGTGAAGACCTTCTCTGATTTGGCAGTTAACTTCAGAAATATATTCGCATCTGAACTTTTTGTATTAGCACTGAAGCAGGTAAGTCTCTCCTTGAATATAGATTAAATAAACATTTTTCTGAGTATAATATTAAGACTGTGTGTGCATGGTAAATTGGCAGGCTCTGGGAAGTAACGTTGAGTCCGTTTATGTGGAGGAGCTTGGGAGTAGATTAACAAAAGATGACATATATAAGATTCTAGTGCTTGATATGATGGAGGGTGCGATCGAGGTGGATTGGCGAGATTTCTTTCCATACTTGAAGTGGATTCCAAATAGCAGCGTGGAGACGAAAATTCGGAATTTGCATTTTCGGAGAAAAGCTGTCATGATGGCCTTGATGAATGACCAGAAGAAGAGAATGGGTTCAGGAAAGGTAGGTTTATCTTGAGGACAACTTGAAATCTGTACAATGTCTATGATAGAGTTATCCTAATAATTTGACTGTTTGGGATGTGACAGGAAGTAAACTGTTTTCTTGACTACCTGGTCTCCGAAGCTAAAGAACTGAGTGAAGATCAAATTTACATGCTAATCTGGGAGACAATTGTTGAGACATCTGATACTACATTAGTGACAACAGAATGGGCTATGTATGAACTTGCTAAAGACAAGACTCGTCAGGTAATATGTTTTCCGTGTCCGGATGTCACTACAATGGTGGTGATTGTTTAGTGGTTTTTCAAATGCATGTTATGTCATGGCAGGCCCGTTTGTTTGAGGAGATCCAGAATATATGTGGACAAGAAATGGTTAAAGAAGAGCAATTGTCTAAGCTACCTTACTTGGGTGCTGTATTCCATGAAACATTAAGGAAGCATAGTCCTGCTCCAATTGTGCCACTGAGATATGCTCATGAAGATACACAATTGGGAGGATATCATATTCCTGCTGGAAGCCAGGTCTATTAATTAATTTTCTGAATTCACCATCCTCATTGTTCTTCTCTCTGTCTATATATATATGATTGTCATTATTGACATGGTCGTGTTAACAGATTGCAATTAATATATATGGATGCAACATGGACAGCAACAAGTGGGAAAATCCTCATGAATGGATGCCTGAGAGATTTTTTGATGAGAAATATGACCCCATGGATTTATTCAAGACCATGGCCTTTGGATCAGGGAAGAGGGTGTGTGCAGGGTCTCTTCAGGCCATGTTGATATCCTGCACCGCAATTGGGAGATTTGTGCAGCAATTTGAGTGGGAGCTGGGACAAGGGGAGGAGGAGAATGTGGATACAATGGGCCTTACCACCCACAGGCTCCAACCCCTGCTAGTGAAACTCAGGCCAAGAAATCAGTACATCAAGTAGGCACATTTGCTTTTGCTTCCTGGTTATCTATTTTCTGAAACGATCCTCCTAAATAAGCCTTAAGCCTTAATTGTGTTTTGTTTTGTTTTGTTTTTGTTTCTCTGTGGTCACAAAGATGGACTAGAGTATTTTCCATTAAAAATAAATTGATATGATGGTGGTTTCTTATTTACCGTATCCAGCAGAGATTGTTTGTTTGTATTGCTTTGCAGCTATTGCTATGTTATGTGCTTTATCAAGTGCTTTCTTTTCCTCTACCTTGTCTTCAACCAACTCTATCTTATTCGTGCATTCCCACGCAACATCGTTCACAGCATTTCTTTTTCCACCTTCTTTTATTTAATTAATTAACATCAGTTTTGAGCAATTTGACTCAAGTTTCCACTGAACCCAAAAAATTAGTCAATATTATGTTTCATCATTTCCAACTACAACTCCAAACAAGAGAAAGAAACACATCGAAACATGCACTAAAGTATTTCTTGGTTTTAAATACTCTATTAAACTAAACATTCGCAGGCGTTGGCGCAAAATTACTTGTTTGCAATGTATTTTTTTTAACCATTTTTACAGATTTTGAAACAATATTTAATTTAAAAAATAAATTGAATAGAAAAGTGTATACTTAAATTAGAGTTATCTAAATATTTCAACCTACTCTATTTGATTATAGGATTTTTGGGTGGAAAAGAAAAAGAGAAAAGTGAAAATATAAATTTACTTTATTTTTATATTAATAAATAAAAAATTGCTAAATGGTTATATATATATATATATATATATATATATATATATATATTTATTTATTTATTGATTGTTTATATAACTTCTGAAACGAAATAATACGCAAGAAAAAAGTCAGTTAAAATTTTACTTAGCCTTTTGGAGGTTTGGTTGAGTCCAGGAGTATTAAATTTAAATATTTGACCTAATTACGAATGCATTTGTGTCTTAGACAAAAAAAATGGTCAAATGGTTAACTTACTGGCCTTCCTTTTCAAAATTTATTTGAATATTATTCTTTTTCATTATGTCACAAAATTTAACCTATCATGTAATACATGATTTCTTTATAGAAGTTTGTAAAAATTGTAAAAAAAATGTAAAAGTTATCAAGTAGTTAACTTAAATTCTTTGTCAACTTTATTAAATTTAATTTTTGTTAATGCTAATTTTTTATGTGTTGTCATTCAGTACAAAAAGTACTATTTAAATTAACTTGAATGTGTTACCTTTTTAGATGTATTTCTCTGTTATATGAGTTATTTATGTTTGCATTTTAATTGATGCATGCAAATATAAAGTTGTTCCTTCTTTAAAGTTATTATTACTAATATTGAATAGTTAAATTAATAATAAATGTGATATCATTAATCGATAAAGTATTAAAAAATTGTTAACTGTAATGCTAATATTATATAATATTTAATTTGTTATTTCCATAAATAAAAATTAATAATTAATAATAATTAAGAACTCTTAATCGTAACCTTAAAAAAAAAAAAATCTTATAGATAGTGAAATTTTGGATGGGTTTTGGATAAGCCTGGTCAGCATCAATGTTGAGAATTCCATTTCTTTGATAGCCAAATTTTCAGGTGCATAAAAAGGAATAGGATTCTGTCAACACATTTTTTTAAAACCCATCACATTACACCTAAAGACGGCGACGCAATAAAAAACAATATTTTGTGGCCATCTTGTTATTATTTTATTTAATAATAATTATTATTACAAATGAAATTGTATATTTCCTAAAAGGGAACACTCACCAAGTCCCCAACTTCCAACTGCTTTTCATGGCATCGCATCACATCACATCACATCTTCCATTCCATCCCTTAAAAAAAAGAAAGAAAAATAAAATGACAAGATTACCCTTCCTTCCTTCCCATGGCGTTGAATATGACTTTGTCATGCTCTTATATAACCCTCTCCTCACTCACTCACTCTCTTCTCTTCTTGTGACCTCCAATGGCTCAAACCACAAACAAAACCCTAAACGTCAACACCACTCCTGCTACTACTACTTCTTCTTCTTCCTCTTCCAACACTCACAATCTCAAGAAGCGCCCTCGCAACACTCTTCCCAGAGACACCCCTCTGCAACGAAGCTCCGTTTACAGGGGTGTTACAAGGTTATTTTACTATTCCCGTTCATTATTCCTTATTCATTATTCATTCGTGTTCAATTCACTTCTACCAACCAAACCACCTTCTTCTCACAACTCATTCACGTACATATACATAGGCATCGATGGACTGGTCGATATGAGGCTCATTTGTGGGATAAAACTTGCTGGAATCAATCGCAGAACAAGAAAGGAAGACAAGGTTCTCTATTCTTTATCTATTCATTTCCAATTTATTCTCTCCTTTTTCGTCTCCTTCTTCACTATATATACTTCTTGTGGTATCGGTTCATCATGGATCATGGCGGTGGAAATTAAACCAATTATGTCTGCACTCTCTCTCTCTGTCTCTCTCTGCAGTATATCTGGGTATGTAAAATGATCCACCCTTCAAATATTTTTCCTTAATTCATATTTGTTTTTCGAATAGTTAGTTATTGATTTAGTTCTGTTGTTGAGAGTAGTAAATGAACGAGTATAAAATAGGGTTGGGTTTGTTACGTGACAGGGGCATACGACGACGAAGACGCTGCGGCACGTGCGTATGACTTGGCAGCATTGAAATATTGGGGACAAGAAACCATCCTCAATTTCCCCGTAAAACTTCTCATCTTCCATTCGATCCTTCAAGCAAACTAATTTTCATTGATTCATCGCACATTTTATTGTATTATAATAATATATTGCTCATCCCTATAGCTATCAAATTATGAACAACAGCTTAAGGAGATGGAGGATCAATCTAAGGAAGAGTATATTGGATCCTTGAGAAGGTTTTTCCTCATTAATTTATATCTACTCCAAACCCATTCATTTGCCATGTCTTCTTACAATGAACTAATCTTTAATTTACAGAAAAAGTAGCGGCTTCTCTCGTGGAGTCTCAAAATTTAGAGGCGTCGCAAGGTACGTCCTCCTCCATTGCAAATTCATCCATTTTTTTTACCATTCATTTGCCTCTCTTCTCTACTTAGTAAGAGATGTTTATTTGGATAAAATTATTGTATCCATTGACGTGTATAAGTTTGAAAGAGTAACTTGAGGGTTTATTCTTTCTGTAAAAAAATATATATATATATATATATATATATATATATATATATATTTATTACAGCATATTAATTAGTCTTTAATAATTTTTCTCGGGACATTCATTAATAACAAAAAAAATAGTACACAAAATACAAAGGAAACTAGAAAAAAAAAATGTATAAATTGAAAATAATTTTCTTTGTTTGCTTTATATTTGTTTTTTATAACACCGCACCTTCTTTTATTTTATTTTTTCACACTTTCCGTAAAGTCAATTATTACATTTCTTAAAAAAGTAAAAAGATTTGGAGACACGTTAAATTTTTGTGGGTCATATTATGTTGAATAAAAGAAATATGCTGGGTTCCGCCTGCGACGCAGGACCCAATATTCTACAAAACATGATCTGTAGGATAGATAGGTCATTGGTGTGGATGTGTAGGTTCTTTCATCCCTCTGTCTTTCTTTCTATCTACAACTTCGGCTGTTAATAATGAACATTAATGGAGTAAGTTACAACTTTTTTCTCCTCAATATTTACCAGTCTTTTTCTACTACCATTTTATAAGCAAAAAAAATAGTAAATGAAAAAGTAAATATGTTTAATTCAATACAGTGAGATTAAACAATTCTGTTTTAAATTATTAGTGTATTAAGTATTAAATTATCTTGAATAACTATAAAATTAGTCTGAAGTTGTTGTCTTCAATTAACAGACACCATCACAATGGAAGATGGGAAGCTCGAATTGGCAGAGTATTCGGCAATAAATATCTATACCTTGGGACTTACGGTAATCTTCCTGACATCCATCTAGTGTCATAATTAAGGTCCATGTGTAGATTGTGGTTACATTAATTATCTTCCTTCTTTTAGGGTAAAATTGGTTGCCTTATCAATAATTTTCCTGACAAATGTTTTCTTTTTTTAAAAGAAAATATCTATATTAATTATTTTTGTAATTAAATTTTTTTAAGTAATATAAAATCTATTATAACTATTTTTTAAATAATATATTTTAAAAGTAAAAAAAATTTAATAATTAATTTATTTAAAGTATATATTTATATGTAATTTTTTTTCATAAATTTTTTATTTTTTTATTATTTATTTCTTATTTTATGTTTTTATCTTATATGTCTCATTTATTTTTTAATTAAAATACTATATTAAAATTTAATAAAAATATATTAAAATCAATATTAAACTTAAAAAAATATATCAAATAATTTTAAATAATTATGATGATATATTATTATGATAGTAACTAATTTAAAAATATTTTATCATAATAATTTACACATCTAATTAAAAATCGTGCACTTTAATTGGTAATATTTATCAGTTAAATATATTTTTATTTAGTAATTTAATTTAATTATAATAGATTATAATTTTTAAAAATATTTATTAAAAAATTATTTTAAAATAAGTAGTTAATTTTTTTAATAATTATAATAAAATAATATTTATAATATCTCAAATTTATTATATAATATATTTTCTAATATAATATATTAAATTATAGTATTTTTAACTTTTTTAAATATTTTTATTTTTCAGAGATAATAAAAAAATTATTTTATCAAATTTTAATCTATTATTTTTAATTAAAAAACAAGATGAAGTGAGATAAAAATAAAAAATGAAAAAGAAAAATGAAAACAGAAAAAAATAATAAAAAATAAATAGAGCGATAAAAGATAAATAAATAAATATAAAAACAGAAAAAATAATTGTATTAGATAAATCTATTTTGTATTAATTAAATTTTGTATATGAACGATAAATAAATTTAACTTTTTGATAAATAAATTAAAAAATATTTTATTTAAATAATTTTTTAAAATATATTATTTATAGGATTGATTAATGTATTAATATTTAATCCTTGTGGTTTTAAGATAAAATATCCTACATCCGTCTCAAAATAATTATAATTTTTTTTCACACTATATAAACAGTAGTAAGTGTATAATTTATTAAAAAAATTAGCTAATTAATTTTAATTCACAAAATAAAGTTAACAATAAAATTAATACTAATTGATTGAAAATACTACCAGGGTATAAAGATTGAAAATAGTAATCAGGTCAAAATATTTTAAAAGGGAAGAAGTTAACAATAGATTTACTAATTTTAAAGATTGAAAATTAGTGCATGCCAAATGAACAAGGACATGAATGAATTGTAGCCATTTAATGAAAGAGGAAAATAATGTATAGATTTACAAATGGTTTAAATCCATTTGACAATGTTATCTCAAGTTGGGACCCAACAGGTCAAATCAACAAGACGATGAGAATGGTGAAATGTGCAATCAATATATGGTTAGTTGGATGTTGATCACCAGACTTCAACTGCTTATTAAATATTATCTTCTTTTTTCAAAGTCCTTTTCCACGAGAAGAAACAAGACATTCTCTATAAAATGTTTTTAGTTTTACTTTAAAATAATTCTTATATTAAATATACATTTTTTATTTTTATATTTTTTATGAAATATATTAAATATTTAGCAAACACTATATGAGATTAAATTATTTACTTGTAAAATCTTATGAAGTTATACAAGTTAATTTATTTCTCCTAATTCATTTTTTTTTCTTCTTCTTATCTTAGTCATTTCTTTGTTTCTGAAAGAAAAAAAAATCCCTTTACTGTACTTATTTTTATAACAATAATTGCACCGATACAGTTTTTCTCTCCAGGGAAACAACAGAACCGTGATGTATCATTTTAATTAGTCAACTTCAAAACGTTTAATTAAGTTAAATTGCTATAAATAATTATTCGAGTAGAGGGTGATTCTCATTTAATCACAAATCATTATAATTACTTTAATCTCAAAGTAATTGTTTTAACAATCAGCATTCTGTATTTAATGATGACTTTGATAGAGTAAATATAGAGGGAAAAGGGAAGAAAGAGAACGGATGAAGCAACATGAGAAGAAAGTTAAAAAATCAAAAGTGAATCCACATGTTTATTTTTTTACAAAAATGCGAAGCAAAAAAGGAAAGAGATATAAGATAATTAACCATATATAGTAAATAATGGATTGTTTTATGCAACGTAGGTACAGAAGAAGAAGCAGCGATGGCGTACGACATGGCGGCCATAGAATACCGTGGACTTAATGCGGTAACTAACTTTGACCTTAGTCGTTATATGAAATGTCTACCTCCAAAAGACCAAGACAACCCTAACCCTCAACCTCAAGCCCACCATTTCAGCCCAATCCGAAGCCCAAGCCCAACCACACCGTCTGGGTCTGAATCTGGCAATGCCACCGCAACATTGGACCCTCCACTGCCACCCCCGCCACCTTCTTCACCCTCCACCTCAATCCCTCCTCCTCCTCCTCCTTCTCGCTCGTTCCCTGAAGATATTCAGACTCTTTTTGAAACTCAAGATTCAGCTGGAATCTACACAGACACTGATGACATTATATTTGGCGACTTGACCTCCATCGCTTCACCAATTTTTCATTGTGACCTCAATGCTTAATTATTCATTTCAATCAGTACACGGAACACACATGCATACATATAGATACATTAATTCATTCTTTGGTTTAAACACCCACCCACCTTTCTCTCCTCCGTTCCTTTTCTGTTACTCTTTTTTATTTGTTTATTCTTGTATAAATTCTTATTAATAATCAGGCTTTAGATAAATCACAGAGCATGTTAATCGATCCATATGAAATTAATTTAACTTAACCATTGATCTTGAACTCATGCAACTGCTTGAGTTAGATTATACATGCTTCAGAAACAAAGTTAGCCAAGTTCAGAAGAACACTTGAAAGTAGAGACGTAAAATACAACAAATCCGGCAAAATATTCAATTTCCTTTGGAAAACGTACTCAAGGACACCATCTATTAAACTACTTGTGTTTGTTTGCCTGGCAGTAAACATCTAATAGTCCTTTCTGTATGGGCGATCTTCAGTTCAGAGATTGAACCAAGTTTGGTAAGATAAATTCCCCACTACACTGTGCAACAAAGCTTTGCATCCATGGAAGCCAAACATATGCAAAACGCTTGGTAACCTGTCAAAGGATGCCTGCAGAGTCAGAGGAAAATGTAATTGCTCTCAACTTAGATTCTAAATTTTAGGTTATTATAACAAAAGTATTTGAGCCAATAACAGAGTTGATACCTGTAGTCCATAACGAATTTTGATTTTCCCACCCTCCCTAGCTGCAGGATCGTCTGCCTCCCATTCTCCTGATCGCAGTAAAGACGAGTCAGCTAACTAAGCAGACAACCAAAATATTGTCTATTGGTGTCAGATCAGCTCATTTAGCAGCCTCGAACACTTCCATTTTCTTAAGTATTATATAACTATGCTGGACTAAATTTGTGCAATATCCATACGAAGTACAAAAATTATTTTGGGAAAAAAACACACCTCTAAAGTTTAATAATAAGATTCACCACCAACATAAAGTCAAAATACTTTCAGCATACCTCTAAAGTAAGCTGGAAATTTTTAACTGATCTTTGGATTCTAACTCCTGCCTTTCCTTTATCTCTAAAGTCAAGCTCGTATTGCTTCGAAATCTGAAGGAGAAACCAATAAGAAAATTAATCAAGCCAGACGCATATGTCTGATTGTAAATACAAAAAAGCTACACACTTTCAGGCTATTTACCTTGTTGTAAAGTGGAACCTTAGAGAATAGTTGATGGACCTTGTCCAACTTCTCCTCCCAATTCATAGGCAATCCTTTTATATGTTGTACCTGTACCACAGGAACCCCATTTTAAAAAAAAAAAAAAAGGAATTTGAATATTCAATTCAAATTTAACTGTAAATAGTACGATCTGCAGACATAGTAGTAGTGAATCCAAGATATCAGCATTATTGATAATAGAATAGACCTAACACATAACAGAATATTTATAGTAAACCTGTGTTGTGTTCTTCAGTGACATATATTGATGCTTGGGTATATATACCCTCATGGTTCTGTGACTTCCTGTACATGTTGTTATGGTAGGTATATAGCTGCAAGGACAACTAAATCTTGTTATTTAGGCAGAGGATAATGACACTTGGTGGGAACAATTGAAGAAGATATTGGCTTACGTCACAACAGCAAGAGGTGGCTTTGGTTGTTTACTACGGGAGTTACGACGATACGCCTAACAATCAAACAGATGATGATGGTTGAAATTAACAATAATACTGACAAACAGGTTTTACTACGGACACACAATTGCGCTTAGCTTAGAAAATAGGGGAGAAATCAAAAGAAAAAGAAAGTGAACCTGATCCCAAATGTGGTATTTAGAGCCCATGAGGTTAGCTGTTATGGTGCCAAGAAAAGTATCATCAGAATGGGAGAGTAGTCCTTTCACATTCTGAGCAATGATGAAGTAAGACCTCCCATTCCGGCGCTTGTGATAGGCCACAGCTAGTTTCCTATTCTGCCGTCCCTGCCCTTCCTATAATACAACATGGACGATGATGAAGCACAAATGAGAAGCAGCAACTAGAAAATGCAATGACCATACATTGTAATACACTAATTCATTACTACCACATCCATAATCATATAGTGTGAGTCTAAAGAAATGACCAGAGAAGTTGAGTTGAATTACATTGGTATAAAGAGAGAAGAAAGTGCCCCCTGAGAGTCCATGGGGCGTTGGCTCCTGGACAATGAAACATGTGCACCTTCCAATATCCAAAGGCAAGGGTCTACAGATCAAGGACCTGGACATTGTTGATCGAGCATGCATGTATGCATACTAATTAAGCAAGGCGAAGATGAAAGTGGGAAATGAAGAGAAAAGAAAAGAAAAAAGGAGAGAGTAAGAGAGTGACTTGTTGGGGAGCGTGGACCAGGAGGAAGCAGGAGCTGACTCGGAATCAGAGTAGTCCCAAATGTTGAGGGGGGTTTGAAGGTCGTTGATCTGCATGCAGAATTCAAGCGAGGAGGGCTTCAAGATCCTGTCTGTGGAGAAAGACCTGAAGGGCTTGGGCTTGGGCTTGGGCAGAGGAGAGGACGCATTGGAGTTGGCGTTTTGGTTTTCCTTGTCGTGGTGGTCATCTTGAATTTCGAAGTGAGGTTTGCGGACACAGTCGGTGCTGGAACTCCGGCAGTGGGTGGGATTGTTGAGAGGATTGAAATAGAGAGAACTGTAAGTGCGCGTGCTTGACACTGAGAACTCATTCGTCTTCTTCATTGTCGCCTCTCCACAATCGCTGTTAAAGAAACATGGCAATCTTGACAGACACTGGGACGATGTAACGAGGTAGCCATGAATTGGGTAAAGACTACATTTTTATTTCAGTTTGCTCTCTGCAGGTGGGTCCCTTAAGCATCCCTCCGTCCAATCCCATTCATTCACACAGACATACACACCATGTTTGAATTTCAAAATCAAGCTTTGGGAAACGCACTCTTCTTCCCTTTTTTATTTGGAGCACCCACTGCTGTGCCTAACGGTAAGTTTTCAACTATTCAAACTATTCATGATTTCATTCATCCCACGTACAGAAAATGGAAAAATAAAAATTCAAACTTCCACTTACTCTTGAAATAATGTTCAAAACACGTTGAGAAGAGTATGCTGTTTTAAAAAAAATAAAATAAACAAAGGTACACTGAAAACATATAATTGATTTTTTTTTTATGAGTTTCAACGACATTGTAAATTGACTCGTAAGAAAAACATTGTAACATCGTGTTCGTCATTTTTATTCTATAAGCAGGTACTGTCTTTTACACCTACTCTTTTTATTTGAAGTTTCATATACGGTGTATCTGGAGTAGAATATGAACTTATGGAGGGAAAAAGAATAGATTTGGGTGGAAACACTTAAAAAGAAAAATTATAAGAAATTTAAAGAAATGAGATGAAAGTTTATATAAGTTATAAATTATTTAATTGATATAATGATAAAAAAATCATTGTAATAAAATATTAAAAATAATTAAATTATAATTAAATAAAAATTATTATTATTATTATTATTAATATAATTTAAAATGTTATAATTATTTTATTTTATTTTTATTATTAATATGATTATTATTATTATTATTATAAAATTTACTATTAAAATAATAATTATTATTTATATATTCTAAATAATAGAATTATTTATATATTCTATATAATAGAATGTAGATTTTTCGCGTCTTTCTTCTTACGAGGAAGAAATTTTTTGTTGGAAATTACAAATTTTGTCTCGAAAAATTAACTTTTTTTTTTTTTCAAATCTACTCTACTCGATTTTTCATTTATGTGATTCAAACATATGCATAATGTGATATTTTATTTGTTGTGTAGCTCTCGTCAACATGTTTATGAAAATTATACATTTCATTTTTTAAATTTTATTTTAATAATACATATTTCCTTACAGTATATAAAGGAAAAAGACCTTCACTGCAATATTTTCTTGACTGGAGCTATGTCAATGGGTACCTGTTTAGAGTACAAAAACAATATATACAAATAGTTAATTAGTAATTTTTACAATCACTGAGAATCCTTTTAAATTTGAAATCTTAGGAGGTATACAAATCTCTCACCATTCACACAATATTAATTTTATCCAAGAATATTAAAGTGTGATAAACTATATATATACATAGATAGTGTATATTAAGAATTTCTGAAAAGATTTTTTTTCTTGTGACATAAAAAGAGATCCTGTTGAAGCCTCTAGAAAAACAAATACCAATGGGATTCATTCACTCTTAAAGCATTACAAATAAAACGAAGAGCAACACACAACGAAATATTATTATCTGTAACTTGGCAAAATATTACACCAAGAACATATATCCTCTGCATTATGAAAAAATCTGTTTATTTACCCTGTTAGAAATATTTGTAACATGCACAGAAAATTGAGACTTGATCTGTAAAGTTTGAAAATGTGCATCACACACAAAATAATAAAATTCAATTCAACAACCTTAGGATAATTATAATGGTTTATAATAATTAGTAGATAATCTTTTTGTTGATGATCATAGAACAAAGTGTCGTTGGGCACTCGTAGTACCTGAACTTTCTCCAACTTTTGGAGACCAAGTTTGAGTGGCTCTGAAATCACACCATATTTCTGCAGAAGCAAACCAGCAGCCTCCTTATCACCTTTGGCTTGTATGGTCAGTATCTCCTTACTTAAGCTTTCAACTGCACTTTCAATCTGCAACAGCGAATATGCAATTAAATGTTAGATATAAAAACTACTCTAGTTAAAATTTTGGGCTTATACTAAAAGTTTAGTAAATTATTATTTTGAAACATAACTAATGTTTGGCTAAGGTCCAAGTAACATAAAAAGGAACTATGATGATGAGAAAGGTTTTGAAGCAAGAATACCTTGGAAAAGTCAACAGAAATTGTGTCTTGAGAGTGTAGGATAAAGGCTCCTTTCTCATATAACCAGTTGAATTGCAATGCTTGTCCTTTTCTGACAATATATGCATGAAAATAGAGAATTTGATGCCAAATGACAAAGAAAAGGTGTCTTGAGAGCATGCATTATGCATAGGTAGTAACTTACCCATGAGCTTCCTCTAAACCAAAACGTACTGACCGGAAGCATCCAGCCAGAAAAGAAACATACATCGACTTCAATAAGTTTTCGGAAAGCAAACCCTGGTCAAATAGAACATACACCACATTAATCATCCTATAAATTACAAACCCTATTTTCAAGTTTCACAAAAACTTAACATAACCTCCAATTCTCCAATTTTGAGTGACCCTTCACTTTCTACAATCTCTTTCTTTTTGAAAGAGAAAAATGGTATAATTACTAACCTTAGATATTAAAAACCTCAGTGCCCAGAGACCAACTGTGTCAGCTTTTGCTTCTTCCAAAGCGGTGTGAAATTAATTCCTGAATCGAGAGATCGGTTAATGTCATATTCATAAACAAGACTTCACTTTTTATGCAGCAAGAAAAAATGAAAATGAATTTACTTGTCACTAATAATGAAATTGCTCGTTTAGAATTAGCATATAATTAATTAAACTTACCAATCTCATAGTAGACTTCTGACCATTTGGAAGAGTTATATATAGTATGAGGTCCAATCCCATGGACACATTCATGTCAAATTGTATGAGTAAAAAAGGAGTCAAAATCTACAAATTCTTGTAGCTCCTTTGCCACAAAGTAACCGGCTATCACTACAAGAAAATTTGATATTACCGACGGATATATAGTCGTCGAAAAAAAGTGATTATCGACAGAAATTATCGACGGATGTAAAGTATATGTGAAATTTGGTCTTACTGATGGATATATCCGTCGGTAAAGGAACATTTAATTACTGACGGATATATCCGTCGGTAAATTCACAATTAGTTACTAACGGATATATAGTCGTCAGTAAATGAGTGATTTCCGAGGAAATTACCGACGGATTTAAAGTTTCAGTAAATAATCCGTCGGTAAATTAACTTCCTTGAGATGAGTAAAATAACAAAAGGTGCCTCAGCGTCTATGCTTCTTCAAGACCCAAAAATAAGGTCGCTCTCTCTGTTGGATTTTATATTTCTCCAAGCTCCCTGGTGGCAACCACTTTAGCGGTCGTGGCCTTGCGTAATCCCCATCTAGTGTCGCACGATTTCCCTTTGCTCCTCTCTTTGTTGCGGAGATTAGGGTTTCTTTCCACCTTCAATTTCTCGTTTGGTTTTGTGTTTGACTTGCTATTTCTCCCCTTCGAGTGTTCGAAACTGTGTGTATCCTCTTATTCCAGTTATTCTCTGAAGTAGTTGCTTAAGTTCGCTGCAATTGCTTCTTCTAGATTTTATTAATTTCTTATAGTTTTAGTCTTTTGGCTTTTAGTTTGGGTGCAACGTTTCACTGTCTTAGAAACGGTTCTTAGTTGAAAATTTGGATCTTCAACCGTTTTGGAGATGTAGGAGATGTGAGTTTAAAATTATTTGTACGGTATTGCGTTCAATTTTGTTATTCATTGACCCGTCATCTAAGGAAGGGCTGTGGAAATAGATTTAGGTTTGTCTATTTGTATGAACTTGTCCGTGAAGGTGAAGAAAATTAGAAGCTGAAATTGGTTTTTGGAGAAATTAGATGAAAGGCCTTTTATGAAAGTTGAAGTGTATAATTAGATTTTAGATTTATGCTGCAGAATTTGATTTTCGTTAATTGGACAAACTTAATTTATTTGACTTATTTTTTTCACATAAATATTTATTCAGAAATCTGTCCAAAAAGTGCTGCTACTGACAATGGAAATGAGCTAATAGCTACTGTCTTAGGTAGTTTGTCTTTGGTTAGAATCAAGACACAACGATTGTTCAACTGGTCTTTGTCGTTGTCTTGATGATCCTGGAAACTGTAAGACTAAGAGTTCATGAATCATGTGGATTCCTTATTTTTTTTTCTTTAGTATAAGCATCAAGCAATTTGACATACTATGGATGTTTATTCTCTTAGGTTTGGTCACTTGCTTCTGCCCTTGTGTTACATTTGGATTGATAGCAGAAATAGTACATGAAGGCAAACAAAGTAAGTTTTTATTAAACACTGCATGTACGAGTTACATATATTCGGAGTTTTGACTCATAAAGGTTACATCTGCTACTATTTTTCTTTTTCTTTCATATATGCAGCTTGCACTTGTAATGGGGCTATTTCTTTCATATACTACACATCTCATCAATTTTAGAATCTCTACTGTGTCTGTCTTAATCTTATTTCTTCTTCTTATGCCTGTACTTCTTCTCAAAATCTGTTTTTGATGTATTTGGGGTAAGAATCTTTGTGAATTGTCAGACACCATATGGGTTTGCTGGCTAAATAATGCCTTTGAATATTTGTCCTATAAGTGCACTTTAGATATTACTATTATAATGAGCTTCATCTATTATAGGAATTTTCATTGCCACAAACTGCATAGCCAATTTTAAGTTTGGTCATTTAAACTCTTTGGCCCTATTAGCATAATCAAGTTGTGATTACAGGGGAACATTCCTTGAAAGAAACTGAACATAGCTTAGTTGAAGTAAACAATTATAAAAACAAGTGTTTATCTATCACTTTTACTAACACATCTAAACTTGCACACAAGTCTTGTGAAAACATTTTATAAAACACTTATCATCAGATTGTCTACTAGCTGTAGGGATTACTTCACCAAAAAAAGTCTAATATGTAACAACCGTACAATCTTTTCTATAGTCCAATATAGGAATATGATGAGTAGGGGCCAGATGTTGGAGTTTTCCACATGGAGTAAGCTACGGATGTAGTGCAAATTAGGCTATGATGTATTGTGTTCAGAATTAACGTAGACATCTCTGCCTATAGCTAGGTTGTTCTGCTCAGCGAAATTTTTGGTTACGTTTGATGTATATTTTCACATATATAGTCCTCTAGCATAAGTGTCACGCCCAATGAAGTAGACTAGGGATCACTCACAACTTATTCTAGTCTGAGATGTCATGGTAATGTTATACTTCATAAGTTAAAGAGTTTACTTATGGTCCAATCATATGACACTTTTCTTTTTCCCTACACAGATTCATATCTATTTCGCTCAACAGGTTATGTAGTACTACTGATTATATTGTTTCCTCTCTCTCTCCATTCCAAAGAATTTTTTTCTTCTCTTTTACAACAATTGTATATAATTTATACTTAATAACTGTAGTATAGTTTGAAACATTAGTTCTCTGAATTTAAAAAGTATAAGTTTTATTTGGGGGATTTTACACATTAATTAATCACTCTTACAAACATTTGATGTTGATATGTCATCCTTCACTCTTACAAACATTTGATGTTGATATGTCGTGTGTGTGTGTGTATGATGCTTCAATATACATTAGTAATAGAATAGTAATCGAAGTTGGATATAGTATGTCCAAATGAATTAATTTAGGGTTGAAAAACCCAATTAGGCAAAAAAACTAAGGATAAAGAGTAATGTTTTTGCTTTTATGTGTAAATATTTAAAAAAATTATACCCATTAAAAATAAAGAAAAGTGTAGGTTGATATTTTGGTGGAGCTTGACTTTTCTTAGGTAGTGTGTGTGATGTGAAATGATTAAAAAGAAATTGTCTATCTTTATAACTGTAAATGTGTTTTAAAGTCAAATTGAAATTTACATACGAATGGAACCTAGGGAGTAGAATTAAAAGAATCCACAATGAGGAGTGAGTTGTAAACGTGATTGATGAGTTAACTAAATCTGATACCCAAATGAAAATGGCCAGAAGAAACCAAATGGAGAGATATAGGTGTTACATGTAAAGAGATCAATAATCCCACGCTGGAAGCTGCAAAAATGTTTTCTAGCAAATAGAGAGTGATGAAGGGTGTGGAGTGTCACTTTGAGTTGTGGCATGCATGTGATGATGATAGAGAAGAGGACCATCACAAGGTGCTTTTTCTCTCTTTCTTATAGCAATATTTTTCTAAAGAAAAAAGTTACTTGACATGACAGCCTAGTAAAAGGTTGTTTAGAGCAACTAGGATTCTTGCATTCGCCTTAACATACATGGATATTTTTAATTGCTTGACGTTTAATCAATGATCAGGAATCACCTTATCAAAGATAGGGAATTCAGCTTTGAACCTAGTACAAACAACATACCAATAATCAACAAGAATATCCTGTTACTCAAACTCAATTCATTTTCCGTGAATATCATAAAAAATATTAGTGAAAACAAATCTAAGTTCTGCAGTTTTGTGAAGCAAACTATTAGATCAACGCTTTTCTAAAAATTGGTGTGTTGCAATCAAAACAAAACCAAGAGGTCGTATTGAATGTGATGTTGTGGAAGAGGATGTCCCTTACCAACCAGATGAAATGTTACATGGTAATGAAGTCATTGAAGTTGATGGTATATTTGGTTTACATGACTTTGACATTGATCCTGAAGAATTGGAAGAGGAAGAGGAAGGGGAGGAAGAAGAGTAAGATGAAGAGGAACACGAAAGTCAAGAGGAAGAAACCAAGGATGAAGATGAAGATGAGGATGAGGATGATGAAGATGAAGAATAAGAAGACTTTAGTTTTCAACATAATTAGAAAAATTATGTCTTATAATCTTTATTTTATACCTAAGACTTATTGTATCCATATTTGTTATGTGTAATGTTATTAAGTCATTTTACTTAATTTGATTTATTTTCCTATAAATATGACTACAGGAGGTTCTGACTCACCTAAACCCCCACCCTATGGTGGGAATAAAGGGAAAGGGATAACAAAAAAAGAGGTCACGTTATGTATTGAAGGTAGTTCCCACAGACATACTGTCTCCATCTGCTGCACCTCATCCATCACCATCCTCTATTATAGAATCTACACCATCCCTTTTAGTTGTGCCTACTGTACCCACACCACTGATAGCACCATCCACTTCTGTAGTACCACCTATACCATCCTCTGCCCCGATTGTGACACACACCTTATCTCTAACCCTAGCTGTGGGACCCAGCTCATCTCCATCACCATCCCCTGCTACGGTGTCAAGTCCTTCCACCTCTGAAGGTCACACACCTACACAGATTCCATTCCCACATATTATAGTTAAAACATCACAGTCTAGTGGGGATGTTGATTCAGATATTGGAGAAGATGACCCTACTCTCCATGATCGACCCATGATTGAACCTTATGGTTGAGGTAATATTTATATTCAATTCTGAATATATATTATAACTAAGTTTTAGTTGTTTTGACTATATATATATATATATATATATATATATATATATATATATATACACACACATTGTATAACTTTTTCTTTGAAATTAGGTTTCTTCCGTCTAGGGTTGCATCACAAGCTGTTACAAAAAGTATTAAGCAACAATTCCTTTAGCCTTGGACAACATGGAGAGTGATTCCTAATAGTGATAAGGAGTCTTTCTGGCAATGTTTTAAGGTCACTTAAAATTGTCAACTTAATTATTTGCTTAGTTCTTATATGTATATAATTTGTACCATAATGTCTACTCTTACAGATGAAGGTTCAATGGAGACCAGAACATGAAAATCAAATAAAGAAGAATTTTCATTCCAAAGCATCTCACAGACTTAGTGAGATTTTTCAGGACGCAAGAGTTGTTGGCCAAAGGTCAGATTGGATTGTAGAACATGTTTGGAGCAGGTTACTAGAACATTGGAGTTCACCCATGTATCGCTCCAAATGTGTGCAGGCCCAAAAGAATAGAGCATCTAAAAAGGGGGAAAGCCTACACACAGGTGGCTCCATCACCACACATGAACATGCCATGCGTATGGTAAGTCTTTTAAACATATATTTAGGATTATATAAGGCTAACTAAGTTGTATATAATTCTTATTTTGTCAATGTAATTTAGGCAAAAGAGCTTGGGAGATCAGTGTTTGTTAATGAGATCTTTCACCAGACCTATATAAGAAAAAATACAGGTCATTTTGTTGATGAAAGGTTTAGGAAGACACATGTAAGTTCCTTCACTTTTAATTTTTTTTATGATATGTAAAGTTTATCATATCATAACATTTCTTTGTTTGTACTAATAGGAGGAATTTTAGACTAGACTTTCACAAGCTAGGTCATCTACTGGTTCTTGTGTTGGCGAAGCAGAGTCTACTCCTACAAACTCTGCAGATGATGATCTTATTAGGTCTCGCTGCTGGGTAGACACTGTTGGAGGGAAAAATAAGGGAATATTATATGGAGTTGGACAACTTGCTCATGGTTACCAAGGTGGGTCTGATACTCTCAAGCATCAGACTCAAGCATCCAACTCCTCTGTTGATTTTAAAGAGATGAATCAACTAAGGGAACGATTATCTGCACAACAAGAAGAGATTCGTCGAACAAGGGAGCATAATGAGCGACTAGAGCACCAGTTTCGAGAGTTTTAATCACTTATGGGTGCAGTCGTTCAATTCCTACCTCCCGGTGCACAATCTCTCATTCAGCAGCACCAAAACAACCAGTAGGATAGTCAGCAAAAATAATCTCAACAACAATAACACAATCAAGAACAACAGGACAACGCAAAATAACAACACAACCCAGAACAACAAGGGTAACAGTCTCCTGATTATTCACATTATTATATATTTTCTCAAATAATATTGTATTTGACATTATTCTACTTTATAACCATAGTTACTCTTACACATTAAGTTTTATTATAGATAGTTTAAACTATATGTCATTTGTTTACATTGAGATTATTTTAATATGTTTGATTTCAATTGAGGTTATTTGTCTTATATTTAAGTTGAATTTGATTTGAAATAGTTGAACTGTGGTTGGTGTTGTTTGTGATATAAAATCTATGGTATTATGCAGGGAAATTGGTTTTCTGAAAAATGAAATAGAACCTGGAAGAAATTACAATATTATCGACGGATATATCCGTTGGTAATTACATACAACGTTTTTCGACGGATATATCTGTCGATAAGTACATTCAACGCTTTTCGATAGATTTATCCGTTGGTAATTACCTATAGCGATTTTCGACGAATATATCTGGCAGTAATTACATACAATACTTTCCGACATATTTATCGATCGGTCATTACTTACAACGCTTTCCGATGGATATATCCGTCGGTAATTACCTACAACATTTTTCGATAGATGTATCTGTCGGTAATTACCGACGGACTTTTCAAATTCATCGGTAATATTTACCGATAACACAATTACCAACAGATTTCTATCCGTCGATAATCTGTCGGTAATATGTATTTACTGACGGATTTTCTTAGTTGCCGATGGATTTTATCCATCGAAAAATCCCATTTTTCTTGTAGTGTATGGGTTAAAGAATATGCTCGAACCTGTTGAGAATTTCCAAATTTTGCCAACATTAACTACCCATTTAGAAAGATAAGAAAAAAAAATTAAGGTTTGGAAGTTTTAACTTGAACAAAATAGAATTTTACTTTGCCTCTGAAACGTTCTTAAGCATCACCATTGCTGTTCCTCGATCTTTTACTATACGTTCATCATTTGGTAGATTGAAGGCAATAATTTGTGGTCCCTTGACATCCTGAGACAATAGTAATGTAAGATTTTCATCTTAATGTTGTGCAACTATAAAATATTACGATAGAAAACATCTGTTGAGTTTAAAAAATGATATAGGATTTGTGTGTATCTGAAATAATAACTGTTGAGTGAAAACTCATCCAAATATACCCTTAATTTCTTTTCTTCTATTTATTTATTTTTTGTCATGATAAAAATCAGAGTATATGTTCAAAATTTGAATTTTGCCAATCCTTACCCCTGCATTATAGATAAGCTGAATAACACGAATAGGTGCTGCATTCACATCTTTTGATTTGTACGCATCGTCCATGGAAAGATTTTGCTCCAAAAGCTTCAATATCAAGTTGAATTAAGATGTTATATAGTCACGCAAAGTTTAGAATACAGACAATATCCATGAAATTATAATGTATTTAATGAATAGCACCTGCAGATTATCACCAAAGAGTTTCAGCTGACTTGCAGCTTTATCATCCCTGATTCCAACAAATGCTTCAAAGGAAGCCTAATTAAGAAAAACAATGATAAGTGGACACAGGTTGAAGCAAAACAATCAATTTCTTATTTTGTTTGGGATAACACGAAGTGGACACACGTCACGTTTCATTTAATATTGTTTATGTTGTGAGAAGTCTCATGGTGAGAATTACCTTGTATCCCAGAAGTTTATCCTCGTACGTTTCATATGGACCAATTGTGACCTCCAACTTCGAGCCCTTCACAAGAAAACAGTAGTGTATTTAGGATGACAATGTACTAAATTTGAATAAAGCAGAAGTGGGAATTTGCCGTATAGCTACTACAAGTTATGAACAGAAAAGTAATTAACGAGGATGAACTTTCTGTGACCACTTTTTGGTCCCATCAAGCACCAATGGCAATATCAACAAAGAAGATTGGGTTCATGTTTTGGATTTGCTTGTGGATGGATGAATGTTAAAATATGCAAAACATGTATAAAGCTTGGAATTCACATTATCTTTTTTACTCTTACTTTTCATCGATTAAACAAATTACTTCGTCATATTTGCTTGTCTTATGTCACATTTTCTGTGTAGGAACAAGATTTTGAGAGTTTTATTAGTTTTGAAGGGGAAATGTAGTATATAAAGACTCTGTGTCCAGTGGCATAAATGGTTAAAAATTTTCAATCCACAAATCACCAACATGAGAAATTTTATAATGATTACAGCATAAAAGTAATCGATGTGACTAACCAAATCCATCCAAGCTATATCTGACTCATAATAATCATTTGAAAGGAAAGCATCAGCCTTGCTATGTAGCAACCTCTTCAGACTGCAATGAAAAGAAAAGTTAACAAATGTTTATAAGCATGCAATATTTTTCATGGTGTTTACCAAATAACAGGGATGAATAACATGCAAGAGACCTTGGTGATTGGGTAATATCTCCAGCTTTATGCAATAAATCAGCAGCTTTGGTGAGAAGAGATTTATATTCTACCGAGTATGGCACAATATATAGATCATGATCATAACTTTCTTTGTTGTGGAAGTCCGAGACATGAGAATCAAAACGAAGTTCACTGTGTCTTCTGATAACACTAAAGAAGCTTGTTGCCTCCTTTTGTTGATCCTTTTCTAGTTTGTCCTTCAATGTCTCAAAACTCCTAAAAGAAATGAAGTTTATAATTTCACATATTTGCAGGTGAATCATTTAATTTTGACATCAGATGCTTAGCATAATGATACCGTTTTGTCCATATCCGGAAATGCTGCTTTATATTCTAGACCTTTCCATCGTTTAACAGGTTTAGTTGCTGTAGAAACTAACCTTACTGCTGAATCTGCAGTTGTCAAAAATGCATTATCTTCATCAAGGCTAGACCTGTCAACAATGAATTCAATATGCCATAAGAGAAGAAAAGATAATGAACTAGTTTTGAAATGTTTCTGCCAACAACTTTACTATTCAATTAATAGGTTAAGTTGTGAATCACTTACCAGGGACTCTTGTTAATCAGATAATAGGACCATTTCAACTTATTTAACTCTGATTCATCACCATGCTCCTTCAACCAATCTCTAAGGGATTATTGTACCATGACTGGTACGAAATAAATACACAAATTTCAATAATCAGATATGGAGTACTCTGAACACATCCTTCCAAACAATCATTCTTGCATCCATGATTCCTAGTTCTACCAAACTCTCAATACTCAACTCAATTCAAATAAAAAAAAAAAATCCAACCTGATCCAATAAAATTAAATTAAATAAAATGTAAACTAAATTCAACTTAGCTTAAACTAGTTTCCCCCTACGTAAAACACATAAAATTAAAAATATAAATGATTGGCCACAAGACCATATGTGTCATAAATAGAACCTGCAAATAAAAGATTTCATCGATAACAGCTGCAGCCTTCACAACCAAATCAAGAGCTTCCTTGTCTGAATCTGGAAGACCCGTTAACTGTACAAAAAAAATCATATTTCACAGGTTATAGGGGATAACATTTTTAAGACAAATATGTAATCATAATCCATGGTTTTCTACAACCATAACCAACAATATCACAATCTTTACAATTCATACTCATAAATATATGTTGTGCAAATTCATAGATAGTGAGTATATAATATAAGAAATATGTATCAATAAATAAAAAATAAGAGAACCTCTGCATTGAGAGAAATAGGAGCATAACGACTTAGTTGCTTTTGCAAACTCAAACTGCGCGCCTCAGTATCCTCTTTGTACCTTCAAAAAAATATACCAAAAAACACATATTATCATTGTTTATAATGATTTCTAGCCTTTTTTACAACCTAATAAATTTGTATTTAACAAACAAACAATAGAAAATTATATATCATGATAATGTTGAGTATTTTTGAAGGGGATTAAATATTGTGAAGATTCTCAAAATGGGACAAGAGTCTTTCAACCCAAAACCTTAACTCATTGGAGTTGTTTCTCCTTAATGAATTTTCATTGAAAGACCCGTTACTAGTGTAAAAACCGATAATTTATGTGATGATGGACAGTTTAAGAGTGGTCCTTCTTCTTAATGATGAGTCAAACAAGAGTGTTCCGTTATAATAAACAACGGACCACTAGTAAATACGAGAGAATGTACCAATGTGATAAAAAATCAAGTATGATTCTAAGTTCCAACGTTGAGTAAGAATAAAAAAGTTGAACAACATGTAATAAAGAAAAACCTAACAATAAGAGATACCTCTTTTCAATTATATCAAAGAGTTGATCATATTGTCGAGAAACATCATAAGGAACATAATTTGAGTCATGGTTGGCTAAAAACCCTTTATACTCTTCATAAGAGAGATATTTTACAGCAGACACGTGTGTTTTTTGGAAAAACAAAACGTTGATAAAGAGAAGATGAGTAAATATCAATGTCATCATCTCTGGTTTGACAATAACATCTTACACGTTCTCACCTCAAGAGTAAAGGCCTCCAGATAAACGTCCTTATCATTAATGCATGTTTTTCAAATTCTGTTACCAAATTTTATTTTGACAAAAAATACAAAAAAGGCACCACCAAGTTTAAAAAGTGCTAAAATTTGATCTACTTACCACTCCTCTTGGATAACAAATATCAACTCAAATGCCTCCTTAGGGAGGTTTACACCTAACTCTTTTTTTAGTTCCCTTCTGAAAATTCGATCATACAAGCCAAAATTTGGTAACATTTTTATCTTACTAGTTGATGTTTAAATTAAATTTGTGTACTTAATTATAATTGGAAGAATTAATTATTACGTAGCAGTGAGAAGCGATGAATGAGAAGGAGGAATGTGAGCAGAAGCGGTGATATCCCATAACCCAGGCCTACTCCCACGTTTTTCAGAAGCAATTCTTTTGTGCTCTCAGCAAATATCCATACATCAACATCATTTTTTGCACTGCATCATAAGCCACTTACGTCAATAATAAATTTGTATGGAATAGAGAAGTTGCTTAATCTTTGATTTTTACCACCTTTTAGTCAGAGCATCAACTTCAACCTTGCCACCACCCATTATACCTGCTACATATTGTTTCAAAACGAAAGAAAAGATGAAGTGCAGCAAATATATATATATTATAAAGATGATAGAAGATTTGAGAAACAGAGATGAGAAAGATGAGATTGAGTGACCTGAGTAGCTGAAGCAAAGGAATGAAGGAGAGCACGAGAAAGTATTTGACTGAATTGTTGAGTTGAGTTGAGAATGGATTTATAGTGTGGTGAGATGAGAGTAGAAGAAGAAGAAGAAGTGAGATAAATGCATGGCATCGTTGTGTGTGCAAGATCACAATAATGGCAAGGGACCATCTTAAGGAGGATAGGTAGTGCAGGCATGCCATCTTCTATTATATTTTATCTAGAGAATAATGATAACTTAAAAAATGAATGTTGGTTTAGTTTGTCTTGGACTGAATTGTCATTGATGAAGCTCACCAAGATTATGAGATTTAATCCCATGTAAACTTATATGGAGTTATAAATTACGTGAATATGGATGAAGCAATGCATATGAATCAACATGTAACTAAAGACTGAAGCTGTAGCAAGAGAGGTGGAATGCAAGAAAAATAAAGTAACAAGAATGTGTATGTATCTGCACTACCAAAACACATAACAATTGAAGTGTTATGTGCCTTCAATGAACAAAATTTTAAATATTTATTTTAAAATTAAAGATATTATTTTATTATAAATATAAATAAAATTTTACCTATTTGAAGAAGGGGAACCAAACATGAAAACATGTATATCCATATTTGAAGAAGGGGAACCAAATTTGCTCTCATTGTTAACTATTTTTGTCCTACCCTATTTACTTTGGGTGCGTTGAATAATGAATTTTTATAATATTATGAAAGTTTAGATCTTATTATCCAAAAAGAAATTTTATCTCCAATTTCAGAAAACCTAATTTTTTCATCAAATTTCAAGGTTGAATATATTTTGTTGTTTTCCAATATAAAATGATTTAATCAGTTGAGAAATTTTATCTTTCATCGAGGTTTATAATGTTAAAATGTTGCCGTTTTCTATTTTATATTTGTTATGCGTGTATCCTATTGTTTGCATAAAAAGGAATTATGAACCCTATATTTTTATTGCTGAAGAAGAGGACACACAATTTACTTAAAGCCCCGGACTTGGAGAGGGTGTGATTTGGAATGGAATCTCCAAATTGAAAATGGGAGCCCTGAAATGAAGGTGAGAGAAGGAGTAGTGAAGTGGAATCTCGCAACTCGAAAGTAATTATAACAAGGTAAATGACCTTGTTTCTGATGCAGTGTAGTTAATTATAATGAATTATAATGGTGTAGTGTAAACGGGTGTGGTGTTTAGGGTTTGTGCTGGCATTGGATTTGGATGGATAAAGTTTGTCTAAACAGTGAGGCGGTAGGAGATGAAGAAGGTGAGAGTAATGTCGATGTCCCTGTTGCTCCTGCGGTTGGAATGGAATTTGAGAGTTACGAGGATGTCTATTACTTCTATAATTGGTACGCCAAGGAACAGGGGTTTGGGGTTAGGGTCACAAATACCTGGTACCGCAAGACTAAGGAACGTTACAGAGCAAAACTTAGTTGCAGCAGCGCAGGCTTCAAGAAAAGAACTGAAGCTAATCGCCCCAGACCCGAAACCAGAACTGGTTGTCCTGCTATGATCAAGTTCAGGTTGATGGACTCCACAAGATGGAGAATTATTGAAGTTGAGCTTGACCACAATCACTTGATTAACCCCACCAGTGGCAAGTTTTACAAGTCCCATAAGCAAATTGCTCTTGGCACCAAAAGAACCTTCCACTTAGATGCTACTGCTGCTCAACAGGTTCACAAAATTAGGATGTTTCGAACTGTCATAGTCGATGCTGAGGATGATGCTTGTGTACTTCCTGATGAAAAGAAATCCCCAAATGGCCTCTACTCCAACAATCAGTTGAAGCTGAAGAAAGGTGATGCTGAAGCAATTCTGAATTTTTTCAGTCACCAGCAATTGGCAGACCCAGACTTCTTCTATGTGGTGGATGTCAACGAGAGGGGATGTTTCAGGAATTTGTTCTGGGCTGATGCAAAGTCCAGAGTGGCATACAGTTATTTTAGTGATGTTGTAGCTATTGATACTGCATGTTTGAACGGTGACTATGAAGTTCCCCTGGTTCTGTTCCTTGGGATGAACCACCATAAACAATCCATCTTGTTTGGCTGTGGACTACTTGCTTGTGATACGGTTGAATCATACACATGGCTGTTCAGGGCGTGGCTTACGTGTATCCTAGGACGCCCCCCACAAGTTATCATTACCCACCAGTGTGGGATCTTGCAGACTGTGGTTGCTGATGTCTTTCCAAGATCTACACACTGTTTTTGCTTGTTTAATATCATGCAAAAAGTTCCAGAAAAACTGGGAGCCTGCATACACTATGAAGCAATCAATGCAGCTTTGAGCAGAGCAGTTTACTCCTCTCTGAGGGCTGAGGAATTTGAAGCAACTTGGGAGGACATGATGAAAAGCAACGAAATTAGAGGCAATAAATGGCTTCAATATTTATATGAGGAACGGAAACGGTGGGCTCCAGTTTATCTGAAGGAAATCTTTTTGGCAGGAATATTGTCAATTCAACCAAGTGATGCTGTATCATTTTTCTTTGACGGGTACCTTGATGAACAAACTTCTCTGAAAGAATTTTTTGAAAAATACGATCACACTTTACAGACAAGGCGACAACTTGAAGGTTTAGCAGATTTGGACTCAAAATCTTGTAGCTTTGTACCAAAATCAAGGTCTTACTTTGAGTTGCAGGTTTCAAAGTTATATACCAATGAAATGCTAAGAATGTTTGAAAGGGAAGTTGAAGGGATGTTTTCCTGCTTTAACTCCAGACAGATAAATGTTGATGGACCAGTCATCACCTACATTGTGGAGGAACAAGTTGAAGTTGAGGGAAATCAGAGAGATGCAAGAGAATATGAGGTGTGTTATAATGAAGCTGAAATGGAGGTCCTTTGCATCTGTGGTTTGTTCAATTTCAGAGGTTGCTTGTGCAGGCATGCTTTATTCATCTTAAGCCAAAATGGGATAAAAGAGATCCCAGCTCAGTACATTGTTTCACGATGGAGAAAAGATATAAAGCGTAGCAATGTTTATGATCATAACTGTAGTGGCATTGATATAAGCAATCCAGTTCATAGGTATGATCATTTATACAGACAGATTGTGAAGGTTGTAGAGGAAGGTAAGAAATCTTATGATCATTACGGTACTGCACTACAAGCAATGGAGAAAATATTGAACAAGCTTCATATTGTAAACATTGAGGATCCCGACAACATAATGTACAAGGAATGTCCGAATAACTAGGACATTGCCATTGTATGTTTGCGACTTCATATTGTAATTCCATACCAATATTTGGTTGCTCAGACTTAAAAAAATTTCATGATTATAATTCATTGGAACAAACTTTGATTATGAGCTTCCCCAGTATCTGACCTCTCCAATTGTGCAAGAGAACTGATATTTCATACAAATGACATCATTAAAAATTGTTAAATAATCAGGCGAGATGCGTTAACAGCAACGGGGTATTTGTTAGGGAATTCTTATTTTTTTTTGTCACAAATCATAGGTTTTAAAGAAACAATCTCACAAATATAATATTTTCAAGAATTGTCTCTTGGTTAAATGTTTTAATGATCTTGATTAAATTTTTCATTAAAACATGGTCGTGAGGGATGATGTTGCAGACATCAAGGCTCAAACCTACGATGAAACGGAAACTCAATATCAAGGCTTAAGAGGATCTTTAACAAGAGAAAGAGTTTAAATGACCCGTGAAGAATGGTGATTAATACGATGAAAGTCCAATTGTGTGATGCGGACCTATCCATGGAAGCCTATATGAGGAAGAAAATAATGGACTATATTATTAGTCTCTAATGAGACTTTAAAATTTGGTTATAATGATTTATTGTATTAAAAGATGTAAAATAATGACTTAAGCCTAATTTGAACGTTGGACCTCAAGCTAAACTATAACTCATGTATCTACTGAGATAAGTTCCGTATGATTGAAATACTAAAAATTTAATTTTTTTTATGTGCTTCCAGAGTGTGAAAGAACTAGTTATATTTATAATTTTAAAATTGAATGAAAAAGGAAATGTTATTTCAAAATTTTGAAAGCGTGAGATAAACTCCCTGTTAGGGTTCTTGGTTGAACCATCGATCTTATCAAGAATTATTCTAATTTTTGTAACGATCAAACCGACTTATTAAACTTTCAATTTGTGGCGTCTTTGCTGTTATCCTTTTATTTCTTTTTGTAAGTCTTTTTTTCTTAAAGTCGAATTTAGGTCATTTTGTTATTTATTTCCTATTTTGGTTCTAATTAAATTCGTACAAAATAGTAGGTCATTTTTGAGGTTTAATATGCCAAAATCATTCAATTCTAACACATGAGCATTAAAGAAATAAATATTTATCCATTTAAGTTGGGAAAATCACATCAGATGGGAATTCAAGATTTGCAAGAAAAGGAAAAGTTCTTTTTATTCTTGAAAATATCTTAGACATACCACATCTTTAGTATTCTAAAACAGAATATAATTTAAAAATATATATATAATTTACCGGAAACACAGTTATCCAAGATGAAAAAAGATTTTCCAAACACCTTGTAAGTGTAAAAATGATTCCCGAGAGTCCTACATAAATTCAAGGATGGTTGTTTTAGGGTTTTCCAATGAAAGGGTAAATATTTATAATCAAGTAACATAAATAGCACTCGTCAAGTCTCTTGTGACGGAGATGCAATGATGTTAAAAGCACAATGCTTCGCATTTGCACCTCCGGTTTTCTCAAAAACATTCAATATGATGCAAAATTTTGAATTACAATCGTCGATTATTAACGACGCATGCCAACAAATATGCCAGCAAATCATGATGCTAACAATGGTTACTGTTCAAGACGGGATTAATGCATAAATAAAAAAAATAAAGGAGAGCGGAAAGGGCAAACACAACCAAAATAACTGTATCCAAATTTGCTGAAATGCAGAGATCTAGCTTTGGTGTCAATAAATCAACTTACAATTAGAGCTTTGCTATTTCATCTGGGAAGATAACTAGAAACACTGTTGTATAAACTAACCATTCTAAAATCAAGAGTAATTGTCCATTGTCTAAGTTAAATACGTCAAACCAAATCCAAAACTCTACCCGCGTAAATTTTCCAAGACAGCCCCACCCCCAAAAAAGGCTCAAGCAAAAACTACAAATTGAAGTAGGTTAGTGATTTAATCCTCAAAATCTCCAGCATTTTCCAATAAGTAGTTCGCTGCCAATTGCTCGTCACGATCACATGCTAAAAATGCCTCTATGACTGAGGCTCTGTCAAATCCCATTGCTTCAAGCTATATATCATAAGCAAAACCAATCAGCACAAATGAAGCTAATGGATAAGTCAGTGGTAATGAAAACAGAAATTGTCAGACTAAACATTTAAGACATACCCTTCCAATTGCCTCCTGCTCTGCCTGCGTCACATTGATAGCATGAGGCATGTCTTGCTCAGCTTGATCAAATATATCACTAATGAAAGAAAGAGGGTTACATTTCTATGAAAAATTTCTGAGGATATATAATCAGGTGAAGATGATAAACTAGTACTTCAATGTCATGTGTCAAATAATTTCTGGATAGGGTATCAAGCTGACGAGTCAAAAGGTTACTTTCATGTTTAAAAACATGGCAAAAGACTAAACCAATTGATAGCAAATGATGAAACAGATATTACAAAGTATCAATGTTAAACACAATGATATAATAAAACTGTCAAGCATAAACCATATACGGCAAGCAATACACTCACCCTTCTGAACCCTCAACAGGTTCGTTAATCAACTGGAGGAACTCAGCATTATGCTCTTGAATTAGTCTTAAGAGACCAGGATTCTGCTTTCCAAGTTCCTGAAGTACAGGCTGCAATAGAAATGTTCATAAGACATTGACATGTGACCGTACTTCATCAGGTACTAGGTGATTGAGAAAATAAGCTACCTGCAGAATTTGTGGATTGGATTGTACCATTGTTCGCAGTGCTTGAAACTAAATGCAGACAAAGACATGGTTACTTAAACAATTTAAAGCTTGAAGAAGATAAGAATAACAAACCAATTCCAGAACTTAGTCATAGGTTTTACTTGCTAACCCTGCATTATACTGATTAAGCACACGCAAATTCATATTTCATTTCCAAATAGCTCCCGTCACATAAACGACAATGTCTTGTAACAGACAAGAAAATGCACCAACAACTACTTTTGTTTTTATGTATTGGCATTTTGTATATTAGCAAAATATATCGAAATGAAATAAAAACAAAGCAAAATTATTGTTTAATTTCAGGAAGTTCTTTATACTTCATTTGTTCTTTTCGAACCTATTACCCACTGGGGGATTGGGGAAAAGCTAACCTGATGGTCCAAATTTATATGGTATTCATGGTATCCGCATCTCAGATTTTTAGTGAAAAATGTTCAAGATACTAAAACTATTTCTTGCAACAAGGATAACTTAAATGTTTACTAACGTTAAATAGCATAGCAATTTATGTAACCAAAACCCACCTGGGGATTGTTTCTAAGAAAGTCAAGTGACCCAATTCCAGCTCCAACACCAGAAATTGTCTCCTGAAAAAGTATATCAACTTAAACTAAAGCTAAAAAACTAACAGCATAAAATGTAAAGACAAGATTTACCTGTGGAAACATATTCAAGGGAGACGAGTTAGGGACCCCAGGAATAGCTCCCGCGTTGACCCCACCTGTTTCAGTTGTCTGACTAATTGGGTAAGGAGCAGCAGGCACAGCAATTTCTGCTGCTTCAGGAATTCCCTGCAAACAAAAAAATATAAATAATTGTTAATTGCTAAAACAGAAAAAGTTACAGCAGAAAATTTAAGCAGTTAGATTCTACAATGAGCCCTTTAGGCATACAGAATACAGGTAGTCCACAGCACGCTCTGGGTTATTGTAAGCTGCTCGGAGAGCACGACTAACTGTATCTCTGTCCCAACTGCCACCACCCATGTCCATAATTTGCTGAATAGTCTGCTCAAGATTACTACCAGCAACTAAATTTGAAGCAGCCTGGCCATAAGTATCTGTAGTCACACTGCAAAAAATGATGTCAAATGGTTTATCAGAAGGAATGCTTACAGGAAACGGGAAAACTGCAAACATCTCAATTTGTTAATTGAAACAGGAGGGTGATAATATATTACTTAAGGACATAACTATAGTTACGAGGCAAGGATCTGGAAATAGGAATTTAAATTTTAGTTCATTGAGTCTGGTACGGTTTACCCCTTGGCTGTAATAGGACTTAATTTGCTATTGTAGATTATAATTTCTTGAGCCTAAAGTTTGGGCTACCCATAATGGTATAAGGGTTGTTCATGTTGCCTGTAGAAAATGTATCAACTGTCTTTGAAGATTACATCTGAAATTATATTTGAATGCAACAGGCTAAATGAAATCTGGATGGAAGCCTGCTCTTTCTCTGGACAGTAACTTGTGTACAGGTAAAAACAGATTAATTAGATTGGGCCAAACCCAAAGTTAGAATTGGACCACTTTGGTCCAACTTTTCATGGCCGAAAAAAAAAAAACAATAACTATTTAGACCGGGACACCCTACAAGTTATCAGGGTAGCCCCTAATTTTATTTCATCCTGATATAGCATCAGACCAGAATGACCTTCCTTCTAGACAGTGGAAAGAAATTAATTAGATCTGATCCAATTTGGTATCATGCAAAAACTAATTAGAATATTACTCAAAATAATCAGGTTGGCCCAATCAGCATCAGACCAAATTCAAATTACAACAAATACATTTAACCTCTTGAATGTATTACTATAAATAAAAAGGATTCCTTATTATCGACCTTCATTAGACAAAAACCTCTTTAAAGGAACATCAGGGCATAAAAATAGAAACTTCATAAGAATATATTTACGGTATATTGAGGGAACTGTAGAGATAAAATTCATACTTTGTAGTTGTGACATCTGTGGCAGCTACATTGTTGTTTGCAGATCTGCAGAACCAATAAGTTAGACAAAAATTTCAGCTGATACAAAAAAACCACATAAAAAGCTATTTCAAATAAACTCACTGGGTTTGTACTAGAGTCGAGGAATTTGGTGTTGATACAGTTATGGGTGGGTTGCTAGCAGGCTGTCACACACATGTCCAATCACCAGCTCATACAGAAGAAAAAGAAATAAAACTCAAATGCCAAAAAGAGGAAATAATATGAGAAAGGAACATGCCTGATTTGATGAAGTGCCAGCAGATCCCAAGGTTTTACTCTGCAATTGAAGAAAAATGACAAAAATATGCTTAGAGAAGTAAAAGAGAGCATCACAAACAAAACATGCTGAAGAGTAACAAAGGTAACTATTAAGGACAAAAATGAACAAGGAATTGAGTTTATCAAACATAACAGATGGCATACTTGAAATATATGACATCATTCTAATGCTTTCACATATTGTCATAACACACATATCTTCCATTACAATTTACAAAGGTTAAAAATCTAAACTACTTTTGCTCAAAATTTCATTATAGTAGTCTTTTAAAAGTTTTATTAGCAAATTAGTCTATCAAAGTTTAACTTACACTAAATTGGTTCTTTATAAACTTAAAAATATCATCATATTCACCATTATAGTGACAAAACTTTCGAAAAACTAATACAATAATTATTAGATTGTTCAAAACTATTTAATAGTAATTGTTTGTAAAACAATATCATAGTTCTGCATATTATTTTAGAAACAAATAGCGTTTTTAATTAAAAAAACGCACCAACATCAACATCTGTGTGTCAACTGATAACAAAACAAAAATAATGTGAAAGAGTAACAAATTAGTAAAATCAGCAGCAATGCCCTGACAGTGTGATTTAGTGCAAAAGAGTGGGGGAGGAGAAACAACAGAAAGGGGAAAGAGAAAATTGACATTTTCAGCAACGAGAAACTGCTCTAAGTGCAGCATTGCTGCTGCCCCATTGAACAGGATCACGGCTACTCCAACCACTTCATCAAACCAAAACACAACAGTGTCTGTATTGTGTTGTATGGCCACTCCAAGGAGCCATTAACTACTACAGAAGTAGAACTCAAATTCTGAATTCAATTCCACATCTACTGAGTAGATATGAGATCTAAAGCTTCAAAAACAATAAATCTTTTATTAAAAATTTATTTAATAGACTCATTATTAAATAATCCAAACAGAATAGTATAATCATTATACCAACATAACATTTTAATTGTGTTAACCAGTCATGGTCCAATCCAGAAGTCAAGCGGGGCACCAAGTGTGTTCAATTAAGTTGGTCTACAAATAGACCATCATTGTAAACATTTGACAGTGAGCTGCAACGCAACAGGCTTCAATAGAAAGGCCCATAGCCACAATCTGGTGGTGCTATAGCTCCTTTATAGTGCACAAATTGACAATCCTGAGGAATATCTTACCCCAGAAGTGTACAAGGGATATCAATTAGAGGAATCCGAATACCTCACCCTATAAGAGTACTTAGTCTTTAGGTTTATCATTGTACATCAAAATGATTAGCTGGGGTTCTGTTTAGCCATTTTAATGCTGTATGCCTACAGGCTACATGCTAGGCTACCATGAAATTATTACCTTGCTGGTTTGCCAAAAGTTTGATTTCAAAACCTAAAGGTGACTTTTTAAACTGGTAGAAACAATATTTCAAAATTGTAAAGCATGATGATTGCATTAAACAATGTCATCATGATATTATTACATAGCTGGTTTGCCACATGTTTCACTTCAAAAACCGTGACTTTTCACACTGGTAGAAATAACATTTCAAGATTGAAAAGCATGATGATTGCATTAAACCATGTCATCATAAGTGCACTAAACCATGTCATCATAAACGCATTAAGCCATGTGATCATAAGCGTCATTTGATATTGTCAATGGATACTCAGTCTAGGCCCTAACTCAATCAACCTAGCATATTATGCACACCTGACAACCCAATTTATTCAGTTATGCTACACAACCTCAAACCACACAATCCCGCAACCAGTTCAAATGGCCATTCAAGATACACAATATTATCCTAATCAGAAATACTTTAACTCCATTGTTTGTGGGGTGATTATAACCACCTCACTTCCTATAAAGTTAAGGCAAACACCTTACACCACCCAGGTAATCATCATGCCCATATAACTAACCCATGCTAACTTAGTCCTTGGAGAGTGTCATAGCAAGTACACACCCTCCCCATGCTCCACCAACAATTTAACCGTACAGGAAGAAGGATTGCAACACAACAACCATTTGAGACATGCTCGGAGTCATTTTCATCATATCATTGCAGTTCAGAACGCAGCTCAGATCAAGTTCTTATTGCTTCTTCTTTTTTTTCTGGAAACAGGATGACAATATTGTTTTAACAGAATTTTCATGATGGAAATATACCTTACTAAGCATGACAACAAGAAATCCATCCTCAGAGACCTTATTGTCGGTTAATGTAGTTTCATCTTTCAAAACCTTGCCATTGTGAATCAGCAGTTGCTGACCACATGGGTAATTATCTTTGCCTTGTACATCTTCAATATTTTTCTTGACCGCCATAATCTGATGCGGAAATAAATAGTAGGGCAATGTGAGCTAACAAAGAACAAAATTCGAATGACCCTTTATGCAGTATAGAAGATTCATATGAGAAAGCATTGTAGTTCTAAAAAAGTAAAAGGAGAATTGGGAATGAGAGAGAATACTAACGGTGTCTGAGGGTTGAACCCTGATTTCGAAATGGCTGCCTTTCAAAGTCTTGACGGTGAGCTTCATGCCTCCTCGCCAGTCGTTTGTCGACACCACCGATCCCAATCCGATTCACCTCCGCCCAGACAAACCCTAGAGTACACTCCAACACCTTCTCACTCCAACAAAGCCACGCTTTTTTCTTTTATTTTCTACTTTCTTTTTTCTTTTACGTCTTAAATAACACTCAAATTAAAAATAACAATAATTCTAAAAGAATCAAATTGACTTAAATTAAAAATTATAAACGAGATAAAAGAAGAAAAAATATATATAGTTTAGCCTATTCCATTATTTTGTTTATTTAATAATACAACATGATTCCACAGTTTTTTTCTTATGTTTTGTTGTTTTTAAAGTTTTCAGTTTTTTTGTAAGAAAAAAATAAAAACTGTTCTGTTTATACGTTTGTTTTCAAAGTTGTTTCAACTGATTTTTTGTTGTTGTATACAGTAATTTTATTAATTTTAATAATTATTTTTTTAATTTGTCAAAAATAATAATTCATTTAGCTGTTATATTTTAGTCATCGCGTCATAAAATATTGTTTTCATTTCAAATGAATTAGCAAATAATGCAAATACCAACAATCAGCAACAAAAAATGAAGTTAATATACTAAAGGATAAATTGAGTGATAAGAGGAAAAGATGGTGAATACCCTTGTACAATTTTATTACTATTATTATTTTCATACTAATTTTTATTAAATTATTTAGTCTTCTAGAAAAACTTAATTAAATCCTTTCCTAAGAAAATCTATTGTGAAGTTCCTAAGCCAACATCACGATATAAAAAGTTGTATTTTTTTGTACAAATGGTAATATATGAATGAGGAAGTACATGTATATAATAAAGTAATTGAATAACTCTGAATTTTCTGTTTAAAGTATATAATTTTTTGTTCTTGTTTTACAAGTCAATTTATCTAAAATCTCACTAAATGTGTAGATCAATTAACAAAATGCTATTCTAATCTGATAATGTGTGTATCAATGCATAAATGAGTTAATGGAAGCTAAATTTAAAATAGAACATAAAAGAAGAAGTGATATAATGAGAAGAATGCATGTGAATGGTTTGGGACATTGGGTGAAATATGAATGAAAGGGTGGTGGTGCAAAGAGCAATATGCACTGACCAATAGATATGGGAATCAATGCATGGTGGATGTTAAAGAGAAAAAGAAAATTGAAAAAACTAAATATAGAAGAGAGTGAAGTAGGAACCATGAACGTACTAAACTGTCCTAAAAACCTGAGTTTGCATGGATGCATGGATGGATGGATCCGAGATCAGAGGACTTGAGAAACGGATCTGAGATGGGGAAGGAGCGTAGGGGGGGGAGAGAGAGAGAGTATAAAAGTGATGTAATAATGTGATGGCAGATAGCTTAGTTGGTCGGAGACGATGAAGACGAGAGGCGAGTGGTGTTCATATTCGACAATGGTGGTTATGTACTTTGTAATGCTGCTGCCCTGGCATGTCGCTAGTTTCGACATAACGAGACTGCTGTCGGAATATCCCACCTACTCCACATTCACCCACTACCTCACACAAACGCAGCTCGCCCACGCCATCAACGCCAGGCAGAATGTAACGGTGTTCGCCGTCGATAACACCGCCATGGCTCCTCTCTCCGGGAAATCAATCCACCACATCAAGAACATCTTGAGCCTCCACGTGGGACTCGGCTACCTCGATCTCCACCACAATCAAACCATCACCGTCACCACGCTGTCCCAGGATGAGGGAGCAGTCCTCAAGATCCAGAACGGCGCCGTCACCCTCGTGTCTTCGGCTAACCCCAACGGCGTGGTGGGCGGGAAATTGATCAGACCGCTTCTGGCAGAATCCGACACCCGGAATAAAATTTCAGTGGTTCAGATAAACAGCCTGATAAGGAGGAGCAATCCGGAGTCTCTAATCCCAGTGATCTCACCTGTGCCGGTGATCTCACCCGTCCCAATAATCAATCCAGTTCCCGTCAAATCCCCCGTTCCAGTGATCTCACCCGTCCCTGTCATATCGCTGGTTCCAACACCCACTCCTGTTCTAACACCAGTTCCCGCCGATATTCCATCACCCGTCCCTGTAATCTCCCCTGTTCCGGTCAACTCCCCCGTCCCGGTACCAACACCAGTCCCTGTAATCTCCCCTGTTCCGGTCATCTCCCCCGTCCCGGTCATATCACCCGTCCCAATAATCACCCCGGTTCCGGTTTACCCCCCAGCGCCAGTCGGACCGCCGGTCATCCCTCCGGCGCCAGTAGTGTCACCGGTGCCTGAAATTTCACTAGTTCCGGTGGTAACACCTGTGCCAGTGCCGGAGACGGTGCTAGTGCCGGTGCCAGCAATGACTCCAGGAGGTGGTGGAAGTGGCGATTGGAGTCCCAGCCCCGGTCCAACTGATGGGGGTACTGGTGACGCTCCATCTAATTCAGGGGTGGCCCTGTTCAGCGTGAATTGGTCTTTTGCTATTTTTCTTGCTTTCTCCTTCTCACTCTTTATGAATTATGAATATTGATGGCTGATTAGTACGAGCGTACCAGCATTAGGTAGAATTAGGACAATTAATTCATTCATTTCTTTTGCATACTCTCCCGCTTTTCACTATTATAGTTTCATGCTTATTATTCCTGTAATGTTTCTTTACTTTATACTATGCAATGCATTGCAGAATAATACTTTAATTCCTTCCTACTTCCTTCTTCATTCTTTCTCGTTTTTTAAGTTTTACCAAGACTGCTCTGCTCGTGTTTAGATTAATTTGCCTCCTGTTTCATAGAAGAACTTCAGGTTTTAATGTTTTTTTCATTGCGTTAAAATCACTGAGGTCATTCTAAGGATGTTGTAACAAAGACTAACCCAAAGTTTGTCACTGTTAAACATCTGTACTTAATATATGCCTATCATTGATACCCGTCTGATAAAATCAAATCTTTTAGAATTGATAAAAACGGTATACAATTGGAAAAATATGGTGTACTGTTATGTTACCATTACATTTGACCTATTAGCAAGCTGAGGACGATATAAATTCACAAATATCGTATTATGATGTACCTGCATGTGTCTTCTGTTAAAGATGGTTGTGGCCTGAAATTAGATCACTTTTAGATTACAATGCTCTCACTGATAATTTCTGCAGCCCATGTGCAAGTTTTGACTTGGGATTTTACACGCGGATTTCTTTCTTACTTGTAGGCATACAAACAAAACTTGGGATAATAATCTTATAATCGTCTTAAAATTAAACACACTGCTGCGTGTTACTGACAATGACCACACCAGGTTTACCACGCAGTTTTGATGTCATTGACAAGTGAAATCTACTTGATTCGCCGTTAGAGAAACCAAAAATTTATTGGGTGTGACTTTTGACAAAATATGGCATATTTACATACTACTGTCATACGGAGTACAGTTTGAGTTGTAAAAGAGAAACCTAAAATGATTTTGTTATCATAGTGACATGTTCTTAGTTATAGTAGCCATAGCCAAGAATCATGCCTCCGCCATGCTGGCAATGGGAAGATAAAAGGACGGTGACTTGCCAGTTGCAGACTGCAGTACATCAGTAGAGGTCTTATTTCTATACTTAAAACTTGTGTCTGGTTTTAAGTGTGATTTGCTGATTCTGATGAAACTTCACTATGGTTGGACCATACAAAGATCCTCCAGAATGGCAATTGCTTACGCTTAGGGTGGTTTTCCGCAACATCGCTTTCGGTTCTCTGTAGCATTTCCCACATCACCTGTACATCTTCATATCCACAAGTCTGTACATCATCCTGAAGCTTCAGCAGTCCTGCTCCTGCAGCAAATAACAGATTCATGTTAGTGCACCGGATAACAAAAAGTAGTCACAGTAGTGTCTATGAGATGCACGTATGATGTATCATGTTATAAATTATACGATTTTATCACCGACTAAGTCTATACGATGTAACAAGCAACAAATATTGGTTGTGTCACTAAACATTGGGTGCGGAACAGAGGACATTTTATTAGGTCATTTGGCATTATAAAACTATAAATGTTACTTTGAGTAAAGTAGGGGGGGCATAAAGTTGCACTGAAAAAGACGTGGATCCTACCTCAGTCTTTGGGTGGGAAGGGTGATGAAAGGATTAGTTAGATGTGTAAGGTCATCTAGAATGTAAAGAATTATAAACTGCAGGGTGAAAAAAATGTACATGAACTGCATGTGATGAAAGAATAAGATAGTATAGAGATGTGCATGGTTTTGGATCAGTCCATGAAAACGCGCGTGTGAGAGAGTTTTGAAGGGGAAAGGAAGGGAATATTGAAAGAGAAGTGGAAACAAATTTGTATGATGATGGAGTGAGGGGAAGAAAAAGGGGGAAAGAGGATATGAATTGAAAGAAAAGATAGTACCGTTCTTGCGATGCTTGAGGCGAGCAGAGAGAGCAAGACAGACACGCCTGAGTGGAAAAATGATGGTGCGCCAGATATCCATAAGCTTCTTCGGTTTTGATGTTTTCTTGATCCTCTTTCTGTTGCTCCTTCTCTGCCCAACTGGCACCGCTAATATTCTTCTTAACCCTGCCAGACCTACCTTCTATCATCTCACACCCTCACCATCTCTTCTTCCTCTTTCTTCTCCAAATGACCCAAGCCAGGAACAGGAACAGGAACAAGAACAATAACAATAACAAAACCAAACTCACCTCGTCCCTTTCGCATTTCTCTCTTATAAAACACACAACACAACTCACCTCACCGACGCGTCATCTTTGATTATTCTCATTCCTCTCTTTTTCTTTTATTTTATTTATTTATTCACTCACCACCATCATAATTAATATTACTAATTAACACACCCAGTCACAAACCACTCCTACTCCTTACATCAATAAATATTCAAAACTAAAACTGCATACAATTTTAAATTAAGGAAAAAGTATAATCAAACTTAAACATTTTTAAAAAACTTGTGTTTATTTATTGGCCTTAATTCAAATTGCATATAATAATTTGCACACTGAAACGGCACAATAATATACTGCACGTTTTTTTTATAATTAAAAATTGCATTCCACTTGACTCAATATGTGGGTTAAAAAAAAATTATTGTTTTTATTTTTGAAAGCAAAGATTGTAGATGATTGAATGATTTGCCCTAAATTATTAGAAGTAGTGAGAGAAAGGTAATTCCCTGACACTCTTTGTCCTTTTATTCGTCAATATTTTAAATTGTCACAAAATAAAAACCAACACGTGCTTCATATAGTCCTCTCCTCTTTCATTATTCAACTACAACAATACTTTCATCATCTTCATTATTTACACCCAAATTTTTATACTACATCACCAACCATAATTTAATAATATCATTATGTTGTTATCGTTTTTTATTTATTTATTTCATTTCTAATTTTGCAAATAATGATTAAGGAAAGTAGTTCTTAAATCACTGACAATTAGTATTTTAATTCATTGAATACTTTTAGTAATAATTAGTATTTTAATTTAAATGTTAATTATTTTTAAACTTTACTTAAAAAAATTGTTTATGTAATTAATAGTCCCTTAAATATTGTATTTTTTTTCATTTATTTGTTCACTTAAAATAAATTAAAGAAGTTCTTCACAAATGTACTTTTCCCTATCAATCAAACAGTTACTTCCTTACTTTCTATAAGTTTTTCATTTTATTTTTCAAATGTTTCATTAAAATATAACAGTTCTATAACTAATTTATCTTTAATTGTTAGTTTTTTTTATATGAAAATGAACAATGTATCTTTTAAAGTTACTATTAAGTAATTTGATCTTCTTCTTTTTTCTAATTGATAATTATAATATATATTCTCAATTTATTTCATAAAAATCAAATTTAAAGCTTGGTTTGGTCCTTCTATAAGAATCAATACATAATTTTTTTCATAAAATATTTTGGTCGAAATTATCCTTAGTTATGAGTTACGTGATCATACTGAATTTTTTTTTGTTATTTGAGGGAAGTTGAACAGAAATGGTGTCGGTGAGTTTGGTGGAGGTGTTTAAATTATGCACCACAAATTGAATAAAAGAAATGAGAATAGTGGTTGGTTGGTTCTGTCACGCTATATATGTCAATAAGTACTATTTTCTATTACCCTATTTATTTAGACACAACAAAATTTTGGTCTTCTCAATCAATCTAATGAGCCACCGTTACTCTACCAAAATATCCATTTTAAATATATTTTTTCTTATCTCATCACCAAAATTTGACCAAGTCACAGTTCTCCTAAAATGGACCCCAATGCTGCACATTTTCACTTCCATTGCCTCCATTGGGATTTCATATATCATATATCTACATTTTGATGATTGGTGGAAGTTGAAAAGGATTAGGTTATGTGTGTTGAATTTGTGAAGTTGAGGTGCGAGAAAGAGATAATAAGTTAGGGTGGGTGGGGTTGAGTTTGCTATGTGATGGAGATGAATAATTGATTGTTTGGTTGTTGAGTCACTTTTGTAGTAGTTTTCAGGTCTTCAAGTCTCTATGCAACTAATAAACGCTAGCAAATCATATGCTACAATTACAACTCAATAATGAAGTCACACAGTTACAATCAATATTTGTTATTATTGGACACGTGATGTCTTTTATTGTTTATCCTACGTGGGCTACTAATCGAACAAATCTTTAATTTTATGACGTTTATCAAATGCATAATAACATAAAAAGATAATAGTTTATCCATATGAAAATAATATACATAAATATACTAATATTATTAAGTATATACTTATTTATTTAGAAAGTTAGAAGAAAGTGGGGTTGAAGAAATGAAGTTACATAGAAATAAAGAGAGCATTGAATAGTATGAAGGAGTTTGAGATTGGGTTTGGGAGAGTTGGAGAGGACAAGTTGAAGCTTCGTTGCCGTTTGTTGTTTCCCTTTTTAATGATTAAAGCATGTTTGGGTTCGTGAAATGATGATTAGGACAGAGAAAAAGACACTGGGGAAATTCTTCCCATCCAATCCAATGCCCAATGAAGCATTATATTATATACTATGTATTCTATTAATAAATGGCATATAAATTGTTGCAGGTGACAACATGGAGAACTCATGAGTAATGGGAAAGTAATTGGGATGAAGTCTGAGTAAGGTCACCATATGCATAATGCTTTTGGGCAATGAGATAATTCTGGTGTTGAATAAAGGCACTGTGGATAAATTATAGAAGAAAGATCTCAACCACATAGATAACACTGGAGAAAATGGCAACTTAGAACCAATTCAAATATTGTTTTTTGGCTCAGCCATCCCACCCAATTTTGTTGCCTTGGATGCATGTACAATAGAAAAGCAGGATCAATCTGGGCCACATCATGTTGTCATGTTGTGTGCTTAAGTCAAACCCACATCACCCTTTAATCTCAAATCCTACCATATAAATCTGACATTCGTTTATTCTTCTTCATCACCCATCCTCCTTTCTTTAGCCAAAGCCAATCACAAAAGATAAGAGCTAACATTAGTGCTTGTCCTTCTTCTTGTTTTAGCATTTTAATACCTATATTCCACTTCACACCACTAACCACGGAAGAAATTGTAGTGTTTTGCAACTTTTAAAGGGGGGGTAAAATTAGTGATTCTTTTAGATGCTTTTTATCCAACCCAAAGTTGGCATCACCAAAAAGTTGTCAACTTTCCGAAATAACCGAGCATTGGATTCCGATGAAGAGTGGACTATTTGGATTGTCCTGAGATAAAATGTAACCTTCACATGTCATCAGCACAAAATACTTAACATGGAAGGATGGCCTTAGATAATAGAGGACCATAAGGAATCTAGGAAACGTTGGGAATGATCCTCTGTTCAATATACTTTCCAAGTGATTTACCTTTTCTTTATGTTTAAGTGTTCGATATCAAGACTCTCATAAGCACCACAAACAGAGGAAATGGCATCCTCTGTTTCAACAGTATATAATTATAATTATTCTATACAACCACAGGTCTTGTTGCAAAAAGGGCACTATGTTTGGTCTGATCAATTTCTCTCCATTCTATTCAATTCTGTAGCAAAGTTCGATTTCTAAACAGAAATAGCCAGGAATATTTGGCATACATCGCAACATGAAATTCGAAGTGTTACATAGATACATTAGATAGTATCCATACAAAAGACCACCTACAGGGGCAACAGAGAGTGGTTTCAGTTATCTTCTTTTTAAAAAATAAAAATATTAATCAATAAAAGCTCAAAATCCAAAACCATCTAGAGATTTGCATATATTCTCATTCTGTGGTGGGCGAGCAAGTGCTTTTGTGCCCACGCACGAATGCAATGATATTCTTGGTGGGATTGGTTTGTTGATTTGTGTTATGTTCCTTGACCTTTGAAGCGCTTAATTTATGTGGAGGCAAGACCGACATTGGCCATGGTCAAACCCTTCTTCAAATACAAAAATGATTCTTGCCTTGAAATGTGTCAGTGCCAGGAACAGGAACTGATTAAAGGCTGAGGTGCTGCTTGGTTATGTTATGTGACATAAAGCTGACAACAAAGTTTGACGCTTCATTTACAGTAATCAAATTATTAACATGAAGTTTCAGGTCGCTAAAAAGTTTAACGACTATTCATTTTGAGGAAACTAGAAAACATTGTAGAGAAATTGGGAGTTTGCCCCAGGGACATTTTGTACACATCTGGAATGGGGCAGAAGTTTCTCTTTAGCTTGGGGGGAATTCGGCTTATATATTATTTAGTCACTGTTCGTTCCACCGCGCGATTCAAATAAAATACTGATTCAGGATAGTAAGTTAGAAATAAAACTTATAAGTAGTGCAGAGGATGAACATAATAATAAGAATTCATTAACTATATGAGCAAATAACAGCATATTCAAGACTTTAATGAGTCATCATGTCGATAGGGTTATTGATGGTCTTTTGTGGTTTGTGTCCTGTACTTATACTTGGAACTGAATACTATAAAGCACCAGCAGGTTAAATTAAAAGAATAATTACATTTACATCACCTTTGAACAAGCCGTTCAGAAATGTAAGATCAAACATTGCATGTTTTGGGATAACATTTCATGTATTTCCTTATCTTAAAATTGGGTACATCATCATAAATCACAATTCTTATAAAAGCTGGGAAGTAGCTTAAGAGAAGTACCCTGTTCGAAAGTGGACCGCATACATGATAGCAATTAAAAAAGATTCCAAACTGGCCCAATCATAATTCATGCGGCCTTGCACCACAGCAACATTCTTTATATCAGTCATCAATGTTCTTCATGTATTCCTTTGAAAGTTTAGTTTCCATTATCAACTGTTGTTCTTTGATTAGAGAATAACCGGATTCAAGTAAAGCATCCAGCGTTTGCTATCCAACAAAATACAAAAGCAGAGTCAATTTCATTTGAATTCTTTTCACCTTAACTAAATTAAGATGTTAAAGAAAAACAAGAAACGAAAGAATCAAGACAAAACAGTCAAAAAGGTCAGTTATGTATACTTCCTCAAACATTACCAACTTTTCTAACGACTTCTCGTGAATGAAATGAAATGAAAGCAGAGTCAAAGAATCGAAATTATTAGTGTCACTAAAAAACTTACAAATGGTAAAAGATCTCACTAAGTACAAGAGATATACTATCGATCAAAATATCACAAATAAAACATCATGGGTGGAAATCCTTGGGTATATGCCAGAATCCTTTAAATTTTTATATTTAGATTATTATGATGTTGAATCTCTCGAAGAATTCAATACAATAAAAAAAATACTAGATTTTTTTCTATCTACTTGGTGGAAAAAGTATGCTTGCATAATAAAATCAATTATTGTTCATAATAATTTTCTATTTTTTAATAAAAAGACATTTCATTTGATGCTAGAATTAATCAGTCAAGTCAATCTGAATCATCGCACCAGAATAGAAAGTTCACTAGGTCATATTCTCCAATAATGTTCAACTGCTAAATGAACTCTAGAGCAATATTTCGTCACAACTACTATTTTGAACTACAGTCAATTCCCATCAGTTATTGTACCATAGCTGGATACAGAAAAAGTGCAGAAATAGGTAAAAAAAGGTCAAATAATTTACCTCTGGAGGAATAAATACAGGAAGGCTTTGGTCCTTTCTTCTTTTGAGAAGTTTGTTTCCGAAATTTTCAACACCACCAATTTCATCAATCCACTAAAATCCACCACATATTGTGTTATTAAAACTGAGCTTCACGAAAAAATTAATTAAATTTGGATGCTGATATTGTATTTCATCTCTCTGATCTCATGTATAAAGGCGTTGGTCAATTATCATTGTTGAAACATGAAACATCAGCTATGTCCAGCATTTGTATTTATTTATTTCTGTTTAATGTTGTATTAGTCATACTCTTGTACCTTGGAAACATATTCCCTTATATAAATAATATTAAGATGTAAGGTGATAAAAACATTCACATTAAGATGTAAGAGTTCTCCCTCTAGGCTGTTTCACTTTACATGACATTTGATAAGAGCCCTTATGACCAACTGGCGAGGAGTTCAATCCTTGTTCCCAATCTTCATAATTAAACTGAATTACAATAAAAGGTAAAGTGGGTATGTGCATTGCCAGGCTTCAAGCCTTAAAGGATTCTAGTCTCAGGGGAGAGGTGTATTAGAGAAACAAACCATTCTTCATCCAGTTTATGCAACCATGAATCTAAACATAGAATGCCTATCGGACAGAGCAACAACACTATCAAACCTTGTAAGTATACAGCTTGAACTATCAGTCTATTACTCATGGCTCTCTTGTACTACACAGGTTTAATACGCTGTGTATAGATACCTCATGACACGAATTGGACAATAATTGATAGTAAACTTCAGATATATAACAAATTGGAGGAGAGTATGCCAGTGTTGAATTTTTAATTTGTCTATGTAAGGAACTTTTTAAGACCTTGGGTAGAACAACATAAAGATTAGCCACTGTAGTGCGAGAGCCTAAAGCCCTGAAAACCCCATACTAACAACGTGGGACTAGCGTTTCTTTCTAGCAATTGGATCCTAACAGAAATTCAACAAATTGTTCATCCCAAGTTCCAATAGGATTTAAAGTATATAGTTATTTGCTAATAAGGAGTTCGTCATGAGGCAATATAATCCCCACACAAAATGTCTCATATAAATGGGTGAATAATTTCTGTAGTGCAAAATAAACCACATTCAAGGGTTCAGAGAATCCTTTTTTTCCTTCTCTTTTTTTTTTTTTTTTTTTTATATCATTTGTCTTGGTGCATCTAAACCTACTGTTAGTATTTAAATAATAAAGGTAATTAAAAATTATAATTTTCCCTTATTGAGGAAAATTGGATAGAGATTATTAAGATCTAAATGTAAACTTACCTTTAAAATAGATCTGTCATAAGTACGCGATCTTAGAGCTCCATAAAAGTCCAATGCTGTCATCAACAAAATAAATGAAAAATAAAAAAACCTGATATCCCAGACATGATGCGTTTAAAATTCTATCCATAGTAAAAATTTGGTAAATGTCAGTTACTTAAAATCAGCTGCAGATAATAACTAAAAAGCATGGAACTAAAGTGGCTTGTCCGTGGACAAGCATGACATTTAAGCCATATCCTACCAACCCACGAGAAATAATTAGGCAACCATAACACTTTCTTTCATATTACTTTATTTATGAAACGAAGAACATGTTCTTTATGTAAAACTGGCAAGTAAAACTTTTCTGAGCCCATATGTACTGCAGTGATAGAAACCTCTAACATGCAGATGAGTACCTTGATTAGGGAAAGTGTTCACAACCTTTTCCACTTCAACCCTGGATATACCATCTTTATCATACATTCTGTGAACGATATTCAGGATATCTTCAAGGTTAGGTTGCCTGTTACACATTTACAGACAACATTTTAATTTTAAGGAAGAGTGGAGTGGTAAACTGCCTCCATTAATGTCATATATGATGTAATCATATATGTAAAACTGTCATATATGATGTAATCATTCCAAAATATAGCTTTATCAAAGACATCTATCGTGAAAATTCCACCAGCAACACTATCTAAAACTTCAACTGAAACCTGTATTTAAGCATGCACCTCCAAGAAATTCCTCAAAATGGTAAGTATAACAATCCTAGAATAAGATGTTTACAGTTTACCAGTAAAACTTATCCATCCTTCCATCACGAATCAGTGGAGCATAAATTGTTGAAAAATCGTTCCCTGTTACAATGATTGGAATTCTGTTTGTGATATCTGAATCTCGCCAATCTTGACCAACACTTACTCTTGTAGGATTGTCTGACAGATTCATAAGAGTCCCAACAACAATTTGGTTGTTGACCGTCATTTGAGTATTCCCTATATGAAAATAGCAACTTTATTTTCAGTAAATAATTGACCAAATGCCTGCAACAGTAGAAGATACAGCAGTACGCACATACAGAGTGTAGTGAACAAAAGGAGGCATGCACCAAACATTACACTGTATTTATGTTTCTCCACTCTAAATCAGATATAAGCTTACCAAATCTACCAAGGCCAGCATCAATATCATTGATCATCAAACAGCTCATTTTTCCCTGTATCAGGAAAGCACTACTCCACAATGTCAGCAGATTAAACAATTGCAATAACAATACTCAATTCAAAACATAGGTATTGAAACTAGAGGCAGCACCGATATGAACAATCTTCAGGTGATGAATTTTATAAATTTCTAGTAGCATAAACTGAAGGACAAAAATTACTTTGTTCAGAATAGGTCATATATATTAGCATTCTTTTCTGCCTGCAGCACAGGGAGGGTAAATTCTGCTAAGTCTGATTTGGACATATCAGTGCTCAGTTTTAAACATTTTCTAGGTTATCATTTATCAAAATTAAGTTTAATTTCTTTCTAGTTCTTCATCAAAGAAATGATAACTCAATGCCACAATGTCATAATACCCCACAAAGAAGAGAAAATTGTAGTGTACAACTTCCATAAAGCATAGAATAATATCTTTTCCAAAGCCAAAGTCATGTAATTAGTTACATAAAGTAACATTTTAACATCAAAACAAGACATACTGAAAACTTTAAAACTCCTAACTTGATTCTGGACCACTTGAGATGCTGTTCTATAACGTTCACGAATTAATTTTCCTGGCTCTCCTGTAAATGTGAAATTAGTAGGATGGGGTAATTAGATCCGTTACACATATGTAAATACATGGTAATCAAAATTAAATAAACTGCACAAGCATTCATAACCAACCATATTTAGAAGTAAGAGATAAGAACTAATGTAAACAAAAAATGCAATGAAAACAATTTCCAAATAATTTCACCAATCATTTTTGAGTGTTAGATGGAAGAACTAATTTACATCAGTTAAATGGACATTATTTTGTTCATTTTTTCAATCACTTGTTGATTTCTTTTAAGAAAATTGACTATTTTAAGTATTAAAGCAATCAACTTACCAGCTCTCTCCGATTCTAGTTCCCCAGCAGACATAATTACAGGTTCAATTCCCATGGTCTGAAATATAAGTTCTGTTTGAAATGATTTCCCTTGTCCTTTTCCTCCCCAAATACCTGAAAGAAAGGTTAAATTTTAAAATAGAAACTGAAAACATTCCAAATTGCATATAGATTATACACAAAGCCTGAAGATTTCGTTGTGAGCTTAGCCATAAGCTTCAATTTTTCAGTCAGATTAAATTTAGAATTACAAGTGTGAACTAACATTAGACTAAAAATGGGCAGTACAGGTTTCCTGAGAGAGCATCATCTCACACTCACATTCGAGACAGAGACAAAAACAGTTTTTAAACAGATATACCAACAGCAAGAAGCTCACAAAAAGTGGTTATTTTACTTTGTTTTGGGCTTTAGATAAACTACAGGAAAAAAACATTTACAGTTTGGTTTATACCTAGAATTAAAGGAACTTTAGTGTTGAGGAGATGAGCTAGGTAGTTCTTGACAATGTGACATACTGCATTCACAGAAAAAATAAGTTAGAGTAATGTGAATAATGTGTAAGTAGCATTTTAAAAATTGAACACGCAGAGTTATATAGAAAGGAAAAGGGAGATGAGTGGACCACATGTGAATTTTGTGATTCTAAAAGAAATTGCGCCAAAAGTAAATGAATTTTAGTGAATAAGATAAGGAGCAGGAGTATTGATAGAGTGAGAGACAGGATGATGAGATGAGCAACGGTAACAGCAGTGGGTTACGAGTAGCTGTAGGAACGAGAGAGCGAACTAAATAACAAATTTAACAAGTTCCCTTAATGCACCAAAATGACTTATTATGACAGTTTCTTCACAGGGGTCCATTTTGAGAGAACTTACCCACTTTGTCCTGTGAAAAGAAGAAGAGAAGGTGAGAGAGGTTAAGGGGAGTAGGAAATTTACAGAATAAATTAGTGAGAAAGGGGAATGAAGTGTAAGAAATTACCATGAAGAGAGGAGCGATGTAATAATCGCCCTGAAGGTATTCAAAGGACCTCGTCACTTTCTGACGATAGTCAAACACAATGTCCGCTGCACAACAAAAAGAAAAGAAAAAAAAAGGCGGCGTTTGCATTTGTTACGGAAAAATTGTTGAACGTAAAAAAAGAGAGTTCCTGAATTTGAATTACAATCTTTGCCGAGAAAATTGCCGGCGAATAGGGAATCGATGACGCCTGCACGCTGGCCGACGGCGATGTTCATGTTATCAGCCTCTTTGCCAAGTCTGTACAGATAGTCTCTTCCCTCTGCGTCCTTCGCTTCCCACGACGACTGCTCCGACAAACGCTTCTCCTTCTTCTTCTTCTCCCCGTCATGATCACTACTGCATCGAACCCGCAATTGAGCTCTGTGTGCATGTTGATACAGTAGTACCCTTGAATTTGAATTTGAATTTGAATATGAATTTGGAATTGGAAGGCATAGCGGTGAATGCGATATCAACTTCACCATCTCCCCAGTTAGTTTAGTAACCAGATATGACAATTCCCCGCCACTCAATTCCATTTCCCTTTGTTATAATATATCGTTTTTCTCTCATCTTCAAAAAAATATAAAATTCGCAAAATCATTCTTTTAAGTATGAATTAAATTAATTGATATTTGTTAACCTTTATTTTATAAAAGTAGTATTTGGTTAAATTTGAAGTAAATAAATAGTAGTAGTGTTTTAAAGAGAAGAGACGAGAGTGAAAAAGAAGAATGGCATTGGAATGAAAAAGGACTAGAGTACATTGTCATAGGGGACTCCCGAGGAGGGAATCCAAGAGTCTGCATCTAAGAGAGAGGAAGCAGTGAAATGGGCTGCTTGGGCTGGGTGGCGAAGGACGGTGACACCAGGCCACTTAACTCTGGCATCAGTGTTAGAGCCCGGCCCAAAATTCTGAAATTCGGTGTAGGTGAGTTTGTCAGTGGGCTGGTGTGGCATGGGCTCCCAACCTTTAGGGTCCACGATGGAGTCAATGTAGGAATGAAGAATAGCCACGGTGGAATAGGGTCTCAAGGGACGACCCAAGCTAGCACGGACCTCTGACTTTCTACCCTCATCCTCAGGGGACATTCTGAAGTCGCATCTCTGGAAACTGAACCCACTCTTCTCATTCGGATCCTCTCGCGACTGAGCCGTGAACGTCACGTACTCTCTGTAACGCGCGTACACCATGCAGTCCTGGAACACCGCCGCTGCGCTGCCGTAGATGAAGTCCACTGTGCCGTAGATCTCGCACTTTTTGTAGAACTGACGCCCCGAAACCGCCCACAGGGTGTCTTGCAGGCCTTCGATGGAGCATTCGAAGAATATGCTCTTGTCTGCTTCGTTCCTCACCGCCACCGCAGCGCTTGCGTTTAGCCCTGCCCAGTTCGCAAATCCCATCTTCTCTGCCATGAACCCATCTCCTCGAATGTCTGCAAACCACCCAAACCCATTTCCTTTAATATGTCACTTAACCCAACATAAATATAGCTACACTACTGCATCTTCTTCATGCCTAAACCACTTAACACGATGCATGGAGTATAAGACTCGTGCAAGTTTTATTCGATTCGTACTGATACTGCCATATTCGGTTTGATTAAAAAATTATTTGAACGTTGAAATTAACTATTGCGTGAAACTTTTAACAATGACGTTGACAATAAGGAACACTCCATGTTATTTTATATTGGCAAATTGTGCTGACTACATGTAGGATTAGACCCTGAGCAACCACAGCAAGCATCTGACACAGTGCCACTGACGACAACCAATTAGGTTAGAAATATTCTTGTGGTGGTTTGCCAAATTCCCATACGAAAGTAATAAAATATGTAGTTAGGTTAATGATGTAATGTAATATAGGTCCCAGTCGTTGGGCTTAGGCACTTGTTTTCTACATTTTGGAGTTTGGTTGGAGTCACTCATCTCATCTTATTAATAAATTCACCAAATATCTGCTATATTCTCTTCTTAGTACTCCATATCTGTACGTAGCCGTCACAATCGGCATCTCCTTTTGATCTTTCTGGTGGGTATAACACCCCTCCAAATCTTACTTATAACATATTCTGCCTTCAAATATCAAATACATAATTATCAATGCAAGAGAAATTTAGAACGTGTGAAAGAAGAAAATTAAATCCTATTAGATCTTCATGCATGTGTTACCATAAAATCTTTGGTTAGTTTACTGGTTAAGAGAATTAAGCAGCACTAAAGATGAGAGATGAAAGGAAGAGTAGGTAGTACCTATGGTGGAACCATTTTGGTAGCCCACTATTATGGTGTGGTGAGGTCCATCTCCGAGGAGCTTGATATTAGTCTTGTGAGGAGGAATGAATAGATACTCTTGATAAGTGCCTTCTCGAACGTGAATGGTGTAAGGTCTGTCACTCATGTCCGGAGCGCTCAGAATGGCTTCACCCACCGTTCTATAATCTCCACTCCCATCCTTGGATACCATTATTCTACTACTGCTACTACCCGGCACCCACCACAATGAAACTGAAAGAAATATCAGAAAAAATGCAGTTGTTGTTGACTCCATTACCAGAGCATGCAATGCATTTACAATTTTCTTCCTTTGTGTGTATGTATATATATATAAGGAGCACTGGTTCGGTAGAAACCACGTTGACTTCTATACACTCCATGCATGCCAGTTGTATCTGCTTCAACGTATATAATATAAAATGAAAGAAAAATTTCTTCCATTCGACCCTAAACTTTGAAGGGGAACCCAAGAAAACGTAAGAGAGAGGGTGTTAGGCAAAGGGTTAAGAATTAATTTTCAAATTGATCTTTCGATAAATTTATGGGAGAGTAATATATATATGCATTTATGGAAGCGATTTATCCTCCAAAATTTTTCTTTTGATGCTGGGATGGGAATCCCATGAATTTATGTCAAAAATACGGCATGAACTTTATGGTGATTAAAATAAAATTTGCATCTCCATTTATCTCTTACAACTAACGGGGTTAGTTGACCAAAAATAATGGATTCGGTACATAATTAGGAGCAGTTAGCCATCCATAAAGTAATAAATTATGGCTACTTTTTTCATTTCCGAAAAACTTGTTTTGAGTAAAACTATATATATATTTGAATGATTATAAATTATTGATCTTGTATAAGTTTGTGAGTAATGACAGATAATATTTATAATTTGTGTTTAAAAACTACAAATTCCCAACCCGTTTTCTTGTGGATAACATGTACAACTTCGTATAATTTGTATTCATACTCAATATATAAGCTTTTATTTTTTATTCTCTTTTATAAACTATAATATATGACAAGTTTTATTTGCGAGTATTAAAATTAAATATAAAAAATAAACAAAACTAAAACGTTGATTATGGTATACTAAAATAATTTAACTCAGAGAATATAGTAATCATATAATTACTTGTGTATGCACGCATTGGACATGCATCTCAATACTGAGAACTATGTAGTACCGAGACTCAATAGATTCACAATTTTCGTGGATAAATATCTATGTTTGAGTACAATTTTTTTTTTCGAATTAAATCATTGATATATTATATTCGATATCTAACTTTGAATTGAATGAAGTAGAACATTATGGACAACTGCTATATCAATTATAAGGATCTAAATTGACAGACCTACATTTAGGTAGATCACAATTTGAGCAAAAGACTTGATGTTTTCTTTATTCAATTATTTTTTATGATATATAGTCCCAATTAGTTTAGGAATATAATATGTATCACTCACACGTAGTTCTCTAAGCTCAATTTCAACGACAACATGAAGACTAGAAAACACAAACAACCTCTAATTTTCATAATTGAAACTTTGGTTTTTTATTGGGATAAAATTTTCAGCAAAAACTAAAATGAAAAGTTGTAAGTGATAAATTAAATGGTATAATAAAATAATGAATGATCTTAAATAGTGTGGAGAGAAAAGAAAGAATGGCATGCAAGGTATAGAGGATTAGCTTTGCGTTGGTGTGAACGTAATCTAACTCGATGAATAAAGAAAAGAGGTATAACAATGCGTAACAATCTCTTATGTTTCAGGAGGTGTTTGAAACATTGAATATGATAAATTAACGTTGCTACGTTACGGTGAAGTGAGAATGAAAAAACTGGTCTTAGGTGAAGAGGTTAAGTGCGTTGATGACAGAGATCTGGTAGAGGAAGAGAAAGGGAGGTGAGAGACAAATAGTTTTGTTGGTAAGGGAAAGGGGAATGCAGGAAATGAAAAAAAGAAAAGAAAAGAAAAGGTGAGTGTGGTTGGTGAAGGAGGAGAGGGGAGAGGTCCACTGCGGTAGGTAACAAAGTCATAGGCCTGAGAAAAAGAGGGTTTCATTGACCCCACACTCCACCCCCTCCCATGAAGATTAAGGCAAACCATAGTATTGTGTTGTGGCTCTGTCTCACCAACCCCAACTCCTCTCATCCATCGGATCAAACCACGTCTTTCGTCACTCATTTTACTCTTCCGTCCCTGCCCTTTACCAACCACCACGTAACTAATCCTTTATAATTACATTGCCTTACAAATACAAATACTATGAATCAGGCAAGCACTTGTTTCGTGTCAACTTTTCTGTTCTTCCTCTCGTCTCTTCCTTTCTCCACAACACAGAGACTCAGACGCAACAGACACGAGTGGTGGTGGTGAGGAAGTAGAAGAATGGCTATTGAAAGCGAACAAGGAAGGGAAATCATTTTCAGGTCCAAGCTTCCGGATATCTACATCCCCAAACACCTTCCCCTCCACGCATACTGCTTTCAGAATCTGCAGGAGCACGGGTCACGCCCCTGCTTGATCAATGCCCCCACGGGAGCCGTCTACACCTACTTCGACGTCGACGCCACAGCCCGGAAGGTGGCGTCGGGCCTCAACAGAGTGGGCGTGCGACAGGGCGAGGTCATCATGATCCTGCTCCCCAATTGCCCCGAATTCGTGTTTGCGTTTCTTGGGGCGTCTTACCGGGGCGCCATGGCCACTGCGGCTAACCCCTTCTTCACTCCGGCGGAGATTGCGAAGCAAGCCAAGGCATCCAATGCGAAGGTGCTCATCACGCAGGCCTCTTACTATGAGAAGGTGAAGGAGCTGGAGGTGAAGGTGGTGTTTGTGGACTCTTGTCCGGCTGAGGCAGGTGACGGTGAGGATCATATCCATTTCTCGCAGCTGATTGAGGAAAGCGGCGAGATGGAAGAGGTGGAGATAAGAGGGGATGACGTGGTGGCACTGCCGTATTCGTCGGGGACAACGGGGCTTCCGAAAGGAGTGATGCTGACGCACAAGGGGCTTGTGACGAGCATCGCTCAGCAGGTGGACGGTGAGAATCCGAACCTCTACTACCACTGCGAGGACACCATCCTCTGCGTGCTTCCTCTCTTCCACATCTACTCCCTCAACTCTGTTTTGCTCTGTGGCTTGCGTGCCAAGGCCACCATTCTCCTCATGCCCAAGTTCGAGATCAAGGCCTTGCTCGGTCTCGTTCACAAGCACAGAGTCACCATTGCCCCCGTTGTCCCACCCATCGTTCTGGCCATTGCCAAGTCACCCGATCTCACCAACTATGACCTTTCTTCCATCAGGGTCTTGAAGTCCGGGGGTGCCCCTCTCGGTAAAGAACTCGAAGACACTCTCCGTGCCAAATTCCCCAACGCCAAACTCGGTCAGGTACCTTCCCCCATCAACACCTTGCTACATCTCTATATCTTATCCATCCCTTATGCTGCTTAGCTGTTTTTTATTATTACTCTATATTATTGCATGTTTGATCGCGGTATTTTAAGCAGAAAGTATTGCTTGAATGTATTAAATTCAGGGTTACGGAATGACCGAGGCGGGGCCTGTGCTAACAATGTCCTTAGCTTTTGCTAAGGAAGCCATGGACGTAAAAGCCGGTGCATGTGGAACAGTTGTCAGAAATGCAGGGATGAAGATTGTGGATCCTGAAACCGCCATTTCCTTACCTCGAAACCACGCCGGTGAAATTTGCATAAGAGGTGACCAGATTATGAAAGGTACCTACCTGCCCTCACTCTAATTGTTAACAACTACGACATTCACCTCCAAACTTTATGTCCAGAGTCTAGACCCAACCGTTTACTTGTTTCCAATTTAATAAAGTGGACCGGGCTTTTGTATGTTGTAAAAGCAGATTATGATTTTAAAATTCATTTGAAATTATTCAAATCCAATAGAGTTATTAATGATAATATGAACAAACCAAAAAGTGGAAGAGTGGAGTAGATCGGAAAGAAAAGTAGTTTGGCGAATGATGTGCATTGAAAGCATGTAGTTGGAGATTGTTAATGTTATCTAAAATAGAGAGCATTGATTAAGGTTGTTGATGTGGTGTTTTTAAAGAAAAAGGTTGGTTGCAACAGGTTATCTAAATGATAGAGAGGCAACAGAGAGAACGATAGACAAAGAGGGTTGGTTGCACACAGGTGACATCGGGTACATCGACGATGATGACGAGTTGTTCATCGTTGATAGGTTAAAGGAATTGATCAAATACAAAGGATTTCAGGTCGCTCCTGCTGAACTTGAAGCCCTCCTTCTCACCCACCCTACCATCTCTGATGCCGCCGTCGTCCCGTAACTCTCTCATCTCATTCATCTTAATCTCCTCCAGTTGTTATTATTATTATTATTCTTCTTATTCTTATTATTATTAATAAAAACGTGTCAATTTCAGAATGAAGGATGAAGCAGCGGGTGAGGTACCCGTTGCGTTTGTGGTGAGATCAAATGGTTTTACCCACACAACCGAGGATGAGATTAAGCAATTTATCTCCAAACAGGTTTTTTTTTTTTTATTCATTTTAATAACAAGTGCCCCACCAACCAACCAACTTTCGCACCTAATTTAAAATTAATAATTTAGTCTGTAAAGAACAACGATGAAATTTCATAACTAAATTTTACAATATTGACCATTTCTAATAAATAAAACAAAGGTGGTGATATTTTTACAACCACAAATTATATATCCCTTCAACTAAGTCATAAAATAATTTATTAAATGATTTAATAAAAATAAAAATAAATTAAAACTATTATTATAATATTATAATTTAGGTTGTCAATTTATATTTTTCATAAAATAATTTAATTTATCTTCTCCCTTCTCATCTCCCTTCTCATCTCATCTGAAATGTGCAGGTGGTATTTTACAAAAGAATAAACAGAGTCTTCTTCATTGATGCAATCCCCAAGTCACCATCAGGCAAAATTTTGCGTAAAGATCTTCGAGCAAAGCTAGCAGCAGCTCCTTCATCAGCACCACCAACACCAGCTGTTCCAAAATGAATGTCGAAATGATAAATCAATGAATCATATAATACCATATTCCGATTATTATACAATACATTCCTCCAACAACCTTCAACAACACACAAGAAACACCAAATCAATTGGGAGATTTCACCGCTCTTTCTTACGTTTACGTATTTTGTTGTACTTGTTGAAACAACAAACCATCCATGTTTAAGTTAGGTGTGATTTTCTTACACAATTCTCTTATGTATAAATTTCTATCTGTCAACCACTTTCACCATCTATAATATCAGAATATTTTTTTATAGATAACATGTTTGATGCTATTTTTTAATAATGAAACACCACAATTGACCCATTCCAAAAATCCTTTCAATCCAAGTGATTCCTCTATTCACATTTGCTTCTTTTCAGCAGTTATGATATGGTTGCTGCCAAAATTCCCAGATTTGATATGCTATATTTCTTGGCCAACCCCAATATCTCCTTTTATCTATTGTTCTATTTGGATCGGGCTTTCCCAGGATTTTCATAATTTTAGACCGGATTTTCAGAATAAATCCTTAGGGGTGAGAGAGGGGGTCGTCATGGGTCCGACCAAAGGGTCCAAAGGCACAAGTGTACACACAAGGTCAAACCTCGTAGTAAAACGCACGAGGGAAAAAGGTAACAAGACCCTCCATCATTTTTTGTATCTTCGTTATTTTTTGACAAAACAAAAGTGCTTGGTAAGACAAACACTAAGAATGTAATTTCATGTTAAGAGTTATAATTCGAAAAAAACATATATGAAAAATTATACAAATTAGGAAAGTATCATCTGTTCTGAAACCGCAACAAAAGAAATAAAAAAAATATATATATTATTTTTATCAAACCTGATCATCTTGTTGATGAGAAAAATCGATATATACATCGAAAAGCGGATAGAAGAAAATCGAGGATAGTATGTTAGTTAAAAATTAATAAATCGAAAAGATGGTTGGAAGACTTTCGGTAACCATGTATTAGTATGAAAATATCAATCGAGAGTTGAAATCGAGAATATGAAGAAAATTGAGAATGATAATCGAGAATCGAAAGAAGAGAGTTCGATGGCTATTACTGAAGAAAATCGAGAGTTGGAATCGAGAATCAAAAGAAGAAAGTTCGATGGCTATTGTTGAGGAAAATCGATAAATAAGAATCGAAAGAAAACAGGAAATTCGATGATCATGGGGAAGTAAAAATCGATGAAAGGTATTGAGTATGAAGTTAAATGGAAAGCCAGAAAACAGTTCAAAGTACTCGATGTTTGGAATCGAGATCGAGGAACTGTTAATGCGTACATGGAACATGGGAAGCAGTGATATAAAACGTGGCTAAAGTATAAATCGAGGCAGTTAGCGTGCACATGGGTAGCAGTTTTTGAATCGTGACTAAAATCGAAGATCAAGAGAGCAGTTGTCTCATGCATGGGAACGTGGCAGTGATTTCTAAAAACTGCTTGTGGGAGGTTACGTTGAAGCATACCTATAAATAGAGCGAAGTTTGAAAAAAAAGAGGAAATTGGCAGAGAAGACAGAAACATAAGTGAAAAGTCTATAAAAGAACGACGCATCACAAAGTTTCTAATGTTTTGAATTTCTATTTTCATTGATTATCTTTATCGCTTTCTTTATTTGCCCTGGTCATTTATGTTCATGAAATTTACTTTCGTACAATTTACATTTAACAACTTTAAGTTTATACCCTTTCAATTTCTTGTCATTTTACCTTTATGCAAGTTAAGATTCTATGTTTAAGTTCCTCATTATTTACATTTCTGCCGTTTCGATTTCCTGTTATTTACTTTCCTATAATTTCAATTCCTTACCATTTATATTTAATGCAATTTGAAATTTTCACATTTTACATTTCTCTACAATTTAATATTATGTGTTACTTTTTTATTTGATACTTTTGACAGCTTTCTTTAGTTCCAGTTTTTTAATACAAAATACCAAAAATAATACTTTTCATCATCAATCTGTACTTATGTTGTTTACGGTTTTTGATTTTTCATGATCAATCTGTACTTATGTTGTTTACGGTTTTTGATTTTCATATATTGTTTCTATTGAAAACCATTGACTAAATTGTGTTGTTAACGTTTTTCGATTGAAAACCATCTATAACCATTTACTATCGTAAGTAAAAAGAGTCTAACTCAAAAGAGTCTAAGTAAAGAGAATCTGTATGGTGAAATCCATCAAATTTCTAACAGAAACACAGCTATAATCTTGAGAAGTAACAAGAAGGGCGCATGGAAGAACGACCTTAATGGATTGGATTTGGATTTGTCACGAATAAGGCAGACAAAGAAAACCTCAAGAAAATTCTAAAGAACATCCCAGGCCCCCTACGCGAATTTTGGGGGAAAATAAAAAATCCTGCGTTAGAATCCGAAGAAAACAATTAAAAATCGCAAGTATCGGTGGATATTATTTACTAAACAGTATCGGGAGACCCATTATAGTGACGCTCCATTAAAAAATGTTGGTTTCATCAACCAAACCGGCGGAAAATCCATTGACGGACAAAGATCTGCAAGCACAGTACAGAACAATCAGAAGGTCGCGGATAATCCACTCAAGAAAACAAAAAGCCAATAGAAGAAGGGATTGAGTGAGGGAGAGGGAAATATCCTTTGCTATTGAATTTGAAGAAGCTGTGGCTTTATCTTTCAATAAGATCTTGGACTGGGATACTAAGCAACAGAGCCAAAAGGAATAAACCCTACAAGATACACAGCAACAGTAATAGCAAGTTACCTTGGACCCGGCATCGAGGTCTCGTCGAGCCTTCGTTACTCCCTAATCGCACCAGGGGGAATCGCCTTACGCTACAACTGGCTCTGTAATTTCTTTTCAATGGTTCGAGATTCAGGAGAGAGGGAGAGTCAAAGTGAATTGAAAAACATGTAATTCATTTTATATTTTATTCATATTTTTTTTCACATATATATTATATATTATGATTTTATAGAATTTTATTTTAACATGACTAAATATAAAAAGTTCTCATTATACAATATTTTGTATCGTTATATAAACCTATAATTTAGCTAATCAAATATATTTATTCCAACACTCTTCCTTAAGTTGGTAAATAGATATCATACATTCTCAACTTGTTCAATAATCTCCTAAAAATCTGACTTGTCACAACTTTGGTAAGAATGTCTGCCAACTGAGATTCAGATCGAATATTTGGTAATTCCAAAATATTTTTATCAAGCTTTTTCTTAATGAAAAATCTATCAACCTCCACATGCTTCATCCGATCATGTTGGACAGGGTTGTGAGCAATGGCGCGCGCAACTTTATTATCACAATACAACTGAATGAGACGTGTATGTGCATACCCTAAATCCTGGAGAAGTAGTATGAACCACAAACTTTCACAAAGTCCAAGAACCATTCCTCTAAGTTCAGCTTCTGCACTAGATATAACTACAACTTTATGCTTCTTTCTTTTCCATGTGACAAGATTACCTCCTACAAATGTAAAGTATCCAGAGGTTGATCTTCTATCATCAAGAGCACCTGCCCAATCTGCATCAGTATAAACCATCACATCCTTGTAGTTGGAGTTCTTCTTGAACATAACTCCTTTTCTAGGAGCAACTTTAAAATCTGTATAACAACATCCATGTGTTTTTCACCTGCATTGTGCATGAACTTGCTAACCACACTAAGAGCATAAGCTAAATATGGCCTAGTGTGTGAGAGATACATCAATCTCCCTACAAGTCTCTGATATCATCCCTTGTTAGTTGGAGTTTAATCTTCTTCAATGCACAACTTCAATCCCTCTTCAATTGGAGAATTTGCTGGTTTGCATGCTGTCATTCCAGTTTTTTTTAGTAAATCCAATAAATACTTTCGTTGTGAGAGAAAAATACCTGACTTTGATCTTGAGATCTCAATTCCAAGAAAATATTTCAAACGACCAAGATCCTTCATCTCGAATTCCTTTGCCAAGTACTTTTTCAATGTCTTGCGTTCCTCTAGATCATTTCTCGTAACTATCATGTCATCAACATAGACAATAAGAATTGTAATCTTTTCTTCCTTTTTCTTTAGAAACAAGGTATGATCTTGGTTACTCTGTTGGTATCCAAAAGCAAGCATTGACTTGGTGAATCTACCAAACCATGCTCGTGACGATTGTTTTAGTCCATACAATGACTTCTTCAACTTGCATACCTTCTTGCTATGTGTATTCGGGATCCCACATCCTTTTGGTAGCTCCATATAAACTTCTTCAGACAAATCCCCGTGTAAGAAGACATTTTTTACGTCAAATTGTTGTAAGGACCAATCAAGGTTTACAGCTAGAGATAACAATACTCGAACTGTACTAATTTTGGCTACGGGAGCAAACGTTTCAGTGTAATCTATTCCATATGCTTGTGTGTACCCCTTTGCCACTAATCTAGCTTTGAATCTCTCAATTGTGCCATCTGCATTAAATTTCACAGTATACACCCATCGACATTCTACTGGTTTCTTTCCAACTGGACAATCTACTAATTCTCATGTTTTATTTCTTTGCAAGGATCTCATCTCCTCATTCATAGCATCCTTCCACCTGGACTCAGCTAAAGTTTCCTGCACACTGTTAGGAATAGATATAGTAGATAATTGACTTATAAATGCGATATTTGAGTTAGACAAATTCTGGTTATAAACATAATTACTCATAGGGTATCTTGTCTTACTGGTGAGGTCAGGATCATAAGTAGGCTTAGGGATACCTCTAGTGACACGATCGCATAATTCTTTTTTCTGTATTAGGTTCTTGAGGGGATGATTGGTGTGGTATATCATTGGCATCAACAGGAAAATTTTTGATCTCAACATGCTCAAAATCTTCCTCATTATGTGGTTGTTGATCATAACATTGTTGCATACTTTCATCATCTCTTGATACAATTTTGTAACTTTCTTTCTCCAATCTGATCTCAATATCAATTTCTTGAGGAACAAAAGTCTGAACTTCATCATAAT